AGATCCCTGCAAAAAAATGCCGATTTCCTTAAGTTTCTACTTTCCAATACTCCTGCGCATGTGATTGTAATCACCAAAACTTGGCTAAATCCCTATTACAGCATATTGATTCAGCTCTTTTTGGGGATTTGTGTCCAATTATTTTATCTAAAGATGCGACCGCCGACTCAGAAAAGGAGGTGTTGCCTTATTGATCAGTAAATTGCTCTGCCCGCATTTTGTTTTTGATAAGTCAGTCAATGAGGGCTATGAATTGATCGGCTTGGATATCTATGCAAACAACATGGCAACCCATGTGATATTGGTCTACAGAGCGCCATCCTGCCCCTACCACTTAATCAGATCAATTGATCAAAGTGATATTGGACTCGATAGCTTTCAACCTTCACTCAGTTGTGTTGGGGGACTTTAATCACCCTAAGATAGATTAAACAAAATGAAAATGAGCAAATGTAATCGCGCAGCCAAAATTTTCTCAAACATGTGCCTAAATCTAGACCTCTGCCAAAAAGTAGAGTTCTGGACACTTGGAAGAAATGTTTTAGATTTGATTTTAACCATTGATGATTCTTTGATCACTGCGGTGAAAGCAAATCCACTTATGGGGACAAGTGATCACGCAATGATCAGTTTTGCATGCATGTAGCGCGGCACCACACTCGAATTGCCTCGTTTTGAAAAGAGATTATAAAAATGGTGATATTAAGGGTGTCATCCAATACTTAGAGAACGTTGGTTGGATTGGTTCGTTCGGTACGGTCTCTAGTGTAAAGACATGTACGAAATGTTGATTTTTGTAATCCAACATGCAATCGATCCCTTTATCCCAATGAAGTTGGTACCATCGAGTAGGCAGCATATACCGTCACACATAGCAAAGTTGTCCAGGGTCCGAGAGGCGGCTTGGTTTAAATTTTGGTCAACAGATAGGGAAGAAAATTTGACGAAGTATAGAAAATGTTAACTCAAGTTTTGAAAAGAAACTCAAGAAATTTAATACATATTTAGAGAAAAAGATAATCAAAAACGGCAGCAGGATGCATTCTACCGCCTACTTAATACAAGACTCAAAAGCAAAAAGGGATGGGTGCTGTTATGTTTGACTCTGGGAACACCCTGACCTCGGAGCTTGAGAAAACGGAAATTTTGCCAAGGTCTTTGAAGAGGTTTTTGTTAGAGAAAATTATTCATTAGATCAAGCCCCCCATTCAACTGACTTTTGAAAAGATGAAAGACTTCCGCTATTTTGATGATTTCGAAATCTACAAACCGCTTCGGAAATGGCCTCTATCAAAATCTCTTTCTCCGAATTTTATACCTTTGTATTTTATCAACGAAGCAGCCCACATCATCTTAAGGCCATTGCAGTTTATACTCAATATGAGAAAAACATACAAAAAATCATAACCTTATACCGCAACCGCAGCATAGATTTCAAGAGGGTAAATCAACCGTAACCTCTATGTTATACTCAGACAATCGCCGGGAGCAATGGGCACCGGAAAAATTAGATGGCTGATTTCTTGCACCCCGCTCGCGAATTCTTTGGAAAGCAATCAAGACTTTTCGGAAGCCCGCCTACTGAGTTCTCGACTCCTCAGAGATTCAGCAATATATCTGCAAAAGAAAAGAGCGGAAAAAATTTAACAGGCGGTCTCTCAAAAACTCGCTGACCCTTTTCCTGGAATTTGCAAGCGGAATGCGAAATTTCAGCAACGCCTATTTTCCGGCACCCGCCTGCCCCGGCGATTGTCTGAGTACACGCTCAATGATTGGATTCTGTCTAGATTCTGGCATGAGTACCAATGTTATTTATTTAGATTTCACCAAAGCATTTGATATGTACCGCATTCGAAACTCATTCTCAAAATGAAATCAGTAGGAATACGCCCATGATTTGCTTGGATTTCTGCCTTTTCATATAAACGTATAGGCGCCGTAAACCCTAACTGCCCGCGCCGTGCCTTGAACACCAGCGTATGGGAGCGGTCGTCGCGAACACTGTCGGCGTTCACTATATTCCAAGAAATCTTTCTTTAACTTTCATGTTGTTCTCGTCAATGCAAGGTGTATCTTGATGAAAGCTTCCTTCAAAAGTTTAAAAAATATGCGTGGAAAGGGTGCGCGCTCATTGTCGCTCGCAAAAAGCCTGTAGCGCTTCGGGACCAAACGTTTCCAGCCGCGCTTCACGTTCAAAGCGACGCGTGGGCAGTTGGATTTTGAGGGGCCTGTTAAGTCAATGTTCATATGAATCGTATTTTTCGAAGCTCAGAATGATGACTAGTGGGGTATCGCAGGATGGCGTTCGCCAGTTCTTTTCAACATCTATACTTATGATCTTCCTCAATTAGTCTCTAAATTGAGAGTGTCGTATTGCGGATTCGCTGATGATTGCAATAAAGTAGCAACAGCCGAAGATATAGCTAAGACAGCGAGCACTAAATGCGGTGGTTGCATGGTCGTTAGATTGGAATTTATCCATATCTCGGAAAAAAACTAAGATAATTTACATTGGTACTACGGACTCAGATTATCGATACCAAATTGAAGCATAGGACCTTGACTATGTCAATGAAGTAAGAGACCTAGGGTTTCTGGTCAACAATAACCTTAGTTGCGATAAGCATTACGAAGCAGTTGCTGTCAGAGGTAATGCGACTGTATATAACTTATTCAGAGCATTATCAATTAGTGACACATGACTTCTCATTAGGGCTTATAAAACTTATATCAGGCCATCACTGGAGTACGGTACTATAGTCTTCAACCGTACAAAAGCCAGTTCAATTCGAGTTCGTGAGAAAGTACAGAACAATTTTACAAGAAAAGTGCTAGTTTGGACTAAAGGATTTCGGTATGAACAATTACTCAAGGGGACGCTCAGAAACAAGGAACTCGGGTTATACAGTTTTGCCATGAAAAGAAAGATGTTTGATCTTATCACACCCCGCAGAATTATACTCAAAGAATAACATCTCGACCCGTTCTCCTTTTTTGAAACTAGGAGTCTAAAACTTGCGAAGGTTTAAGAAAGATAGTTATAAGATAGTTATACTTGGAGCAAGGAGAAATGTGAGAAGATTCTTTGTAAACAGAATTAGTAGTGATCTGGATAAACTGATGAGAAGTGGAAAGCTTCCTGTAAAGCTTTCGCAGTTCAAAATGATTCAAAGTATTTGCTTTCACGTTGAAAATATGCTTTGTTCGTTGTTTTTCTTTTGTTTCTCTTGTGTTTACCAACAAGTCTTCTATGGTTTGTAATGCTTGTCTGTTGATGATTAATGCATAGGACATCCTACGTAATAAATGAAATGAAATGAAAGATGAGATGCGTAGTCATTCGAGCCAGCACCTACCATACAACCAAAAATTACGAGCATGTTGCTACCACAGAATCTTCAGAAACGAAGGAGGAAGCGAGGAACAGAAGCAAAGCATAGTCAGAACTATTAAATTGAACAGGATCTATTGCCCCATTTTTGAAAAATTGTAACTTCTTTCTGTTATGAAAGTTGTTTCGTAATAGTTTTACTGAAGGCGTAAATCATGTACTTATTGACTTCACTTTCATTCTCATTTTCAATGAGCTCCTGCAAAAATTAAAATAAAAAGGATCATTCGAGGTTTGGTGATTTTTAGCAAGCCCAAAAAATATAAAACTTATGCAATAAGTTCCAAAAGTTAGTAGCATAAGCTTTCCAATTTGCTCTTTTTAACTAAACAAATGTGCTGGTGGACCCTCCCTACTGGAAGTTATTAACATCGAGAAAGCAGCAAAAAGACAAAAATCTGTTTGGCATTTTCTTTAAAAAATTGGAAAGGCTCAATCAGAACAAACTTTGCTTGACTGCTCTTCTTTTTCCTGTTCTATCCCTGCCTTCAGAGCTTACTGACGCAGCCAAGATAATTTCAAAAAATTACCCAGGAAAATGCATCCCGACAGCAACAAATTAGGATTTGTTGAGGTGCGAAGAACCTTGGGACCAACCTTATATACCCAACGACAAATTCATTGTCTTTTCTTTGTATAGTTTGTTAGAATGAATCGCAAGATTTCTTCTCGAATGACGAGGTGTACGAGAAGAGGGTATTAGTATTGGGTAGCTTATGACCGTATCAATGATGATAGGGAAAAAAGTGTCTCAAATGATCAAGTTACTCATCTAATCCGTGCTATGTACTTCCGTCATGAGCAACAATGGCAATGGTGTCATTCGGTAAAGAGTCGTTGCAAAATGCCGAATATTACTTTGCGATTAGAGTTTGCATCTTCTTTTTGTAAAAAAAATCACTTAACATCTGCTTGGGGGCAACGCAAAAAGGTGTGAGGCTGAAATATCACTACGCGCTCGATATCGCGAGAATAGATGTAATTAGATTAGATGGTTGTTTGGTAAACAAGTGCTCGAATAATCAAGCTCTTGTGAATAATAAGCAGCGCTCAACAGAGATCCGCTGCAGAAAATTTACCATCAGAATTTCCCATATTTCAACGTGGGAATATGTAAATCTTACTTCACATCCTCAACAAAGCGACAAGTTTCCCAGAGAATTTTTATGACGTTTCATCAAGATTTTTATAGGTTCGTGCTAAGCAATTCGAAATTTTGCTCAAAAACAGCCGATTTTATAACTAGCATATCTAATGCATTAGTATGGAAAACTTCCTGATATCTACAATTTTTGAGATTAGTCTAACCAAAGCTAGCTATGTGGATAAAAACTTCAGTTGAACCTCAATAAACGGCTAAACAATCATAAAAGCAGCAGATGTTAATCTGATAGGCGCTTAGTGATTGTAGATTTGATAATTTGATAGCCTTAAATGGAAGATCTTTCGAATGTAGATAAACGCTAGAACATGCAGGGTTTGCTAATCAATCAGTTACTCATAGCCTGCCACAAAAGGGAGCCTGCCACATTTTTTCAAGCCAGACGGTGACGATGAAATTATGTTTACCTAGGCATATGCCGTAGGCCCTTCCATAAATAAACTAATACGAATACTTTATTCAACATCCTCTAAGCCAAAATTCTTTATATTTTTCTGAATATTCACGGGGTGTAGTAATTTGAACAGACATATGAAAGACGAGAGGGTTCTGAAAGAGCAGTAGTAAAATACGAAGAATTATTTACCAAATTGTAGTTGCAATAAAGAAGAATCACAAACATAATGGTGGAAACCAAGCAAAACGACCTCAATCAAAATTCACATCCAGTCCCATCGAATCGCGGATAGCATTTCTTATCGTATTCATAATATTGACGGGAATAACAAGATCCTCGTTGTCCTGAAGATTATCTAAATTTCGGATATTTCCACTAAACCTGCGTTTGTTTTCAATTATACGATTAGTATAAATTTTAGTATAAACAGAAAACAAAATAATTCTAATTTATAATATTAATAATAATAATAATAATAATAATAATATTAATATTAATATTAATATAATAATAATATATATATAATAATTTATAATTTATAACATTTTTATATAATTCTAGTTTATTTTTCTAGTTCCGAATTTTCTCTTCTCTTTTTTATGCCTCTGAGTTTTCTTTTTTTCTTGCTTCTTTTCTACTTTTCCTGAGGAATCATTACTAAATTTCTTTGGCAAATGTCAGGCTTCGCCCAGTTTAATATTCTGATTCCGTGCGAAAAAAATGGTAAAATAGAAACTAAAAATCCTAGTCATAAAAAAACCTAACTGGATAGCGAATCATATGGAAAAGGCAAATGAATCAACCTATAATGCATCTTTCTTTTTTAGGAATGTTGAATCATACGAGTCGATAACTCCTAGAATTTGCTTCAAAACCTCTAAGCAAAAAACAGACCAAAATCGAAAAGTCATGCTTGAAATGTTAAGACTTTTATTAGGTGGGTGAAATATTCTTTGCTCAGAATAAGTTTCAAATATAAACGATTAGCAAAAAAAGACCACATTCCAAGCACAGCTTCAGAATAATAAAGCTGTCTCTAGCTGACCTGGTTGTGAACGGAATAACCGGAGCTGGAACGATCAGAACTAAAACTGCGTCCGATGCTTATTGACCTCCTCGAGCTCTCAAGACGATTTCTCTGCAGAAGAAGCAGTCACAGAGAAGTTAGAATTAAGACCCTGTACCTGATCTCCTGAGTCACGAAAATGTTCCGATCCTCCTTCGGATCTCGTCAACTGTAAAAACTTATTTGATTTGAGCGTCAAAGCAAAACCAAACACAAACATTTGGATTGACTTCCAAATCGAGATCGATATTGTTCTCTGTCTGGCTTGTGTCCCTATCCTGCTGCTGTTGCTCCTCATCTCTTGCCTTTTTCACTCTCTCGCAGGGCGTTAATAATGGCTCCCTGGTCAATATTGCCAAACGGTCGCTTAGTCTGAAAAAAGTTTTTGATTTGTCCCAAAGGTGACATGTTAGTTGCAAATGAGCTGTAGCTCATCGAATGGCTGCGTTCTCTGCTATTTTGAGCGTAGCCGTTCAAAACTATTTATGAAAGAAGTGGATTTTTCAAAGCTAATTCTGAATATATTGGCAAGCCCACCTTCAACAATGATGTCTTTTAAACAAACTCAAAAATGTACTGGTTTTTGTTGATTAACTATGTACACAACTTATACACTATGTTCTTGATATTCACGTGTATGTATAATTTATGCAGTGTAAGAAAACCTAGCGAGATCCTGTATGTATGCATACCCTATGTCTCAATGACAGTGACGGTTGTTAGAGCGGCTCGCGATCCGCGGCAGCCTTTCTTGAAAGCTGCGCAGCGTCTACGAACGTATCCTTTTAGCATTTTCCCAACAGCACAAACCGGGTACACAATTGAAAAAAGTCGTTTGTAAGATTACGGTAGCTAGATGTAGAGACAAAAATGCAAAATCTTCCACAGTATTTGTTCTAGAATGAGCTTTTGATGGTATTGTCTCGCGAAGAATACGGTAGAATGGAGAAAACAAATGGCTGTAGTACTCATCGGTGTAGAATTTGAGGCACAAATCAGTTGGTAGCTGCTCTTGCAATTTGAAGATAGCTGAGCTCGGACAGGCAGTGAGTTTCGATTGTCGAAACGTAGTAAATTGTGGGCCAAAATTTCACGATGGTATTCATTCAGTCAAACAGAATCTCAATATTTGCCACGTCAGCTAATGTCCTAATTTCTCCACTTCATGCTCAAGAAAATTCGAGTGTGCTAATTTTTTTACCTTACCTGTTCTTCTCAGTAATCGCGAGCCATGTTTCAGCCGAGCAAGCTTCCAGCTCTGCCTCGAGCCTTTGTAGCTCCTGAATTAATTCAAATAGGTTGATGTCAAGAAAATCGAATTTCACTTCATAGCGAGTTTTCCTCTCAGCCATCGCTTTTTCAGCCTTCGCTTGGCTCTCCAACAATGCTTCTCTCAGCATTTCTCGGGCTTTGCAGGCATCTCTGATCTTCGTCACCACTTCACTTTCTTGTTCAGCCATTTCCTTAAATATTTATTTGCCCTTCCGATACGCATTTTGTTAAAACTATTCTACCGTATGGGCAGCCCATTCGTTAAGATTTGTTCTTACAAGAAGTTCGCTCATCAAACTACGTACATGAGCCATTCTCGCTTGGAATTGTTGCGCAGTTTCAATTTCATAGTCCTAACATGGTAAATTCTTGAGCCCTATCGTCCCAAGTCTTTATTTACCAGCGGTTTTTCCAGTTCTCGCAAAACTTCTCCGCTGACATCTGGTGTTCCAGATTTCTCAATTTCCAAACGTCTTTCTAGATCTGACTCCAATGTCTTCTTCCTAAATAATTATATTCCTAAAAGGTTTTTTTCATGTACATCCTAGTAGGTTCAACGAATATCGTGTCTTTGCGCTGTCGACAACATTTGCGCGTAAGCAAAGGCAGGACGCCCTCCAGACCCAATTTGCCGGCATTTCACGACGATTGTTTTCGCGCAAAAGTTGTCGTCACCGCAAAGGCACGATGCCAGCCATTGAATTCTACCAGGCTGTAGGTTATACACTACCTTCTACGCATATGGCACAATTTTTCTTCATTTCTTCTGGTTTCATCTACTAGCTTTCGCAAACGTCGTCCTGCCAATTCCACTTTTTCTTTTAGCTGGCGTAGTTGAGCAACAGAAAGTTGCGTGTTGACTGGAAAATTGGGCTGTGTATAGGTCAGTTTTGAAATCGTGATGGTGGATTTGGCCACGGTCTTTGCGCCCACAAGAGCATAACACTTATTAAAAAAGATATCTCCCTCAACGATCAGCTCAGTTACTTTTAGTGTCTAGACTATCATACGTAAGCAAAACCATTCAGTCAAAGGTGAAAATCAGGAAATCGCAGTTGAGGGACTTGCGCACGTGTGCGCGCGGTCGCGCCATTCGTCAGATTTTTCGAATGCTCTGTACCGCTACGTAGAAAGCACATATCATTCATTCTATGACTAGGAGACGCGAGAACCATTGCACACATTGTCTAAACAAGCCTATTCGTGTACTTAGCAGGTTTGTACTTGTCATTTATCTCGTCCAGGTTTATTTACTCTTTGGAAACAGGGAAAAACAAACTCAGACTTGTTGAGACAATGTCAGCAATGCGGTTTCGCGTCTCCTAGTCATATAATAGATAACATGTACTTTCCGATCATTTCAATCCTTCCAAACATTGCCGAGAAAACTCTTCGGCAACTTTTAAGCACTGTTTTGGTGCTTCTCGGCTCCAAGTCATAAGGAACAAATTTGCCATTTTTCTGAAACACCATCGCTAGTTTGATGAAATATGAATTTTATGGAGGAACTTCATAACCAAATTTTTTCCTTCAGTATAGTGGGACTGTTTTATGGCTGTGAGCAACAAAAAGTGGGGGAGGGGTGACCACCGTTGTACGAGGATAAGCAAACATGCACTCTTTACACTACTGTTATCACAGCTGTCGTGTGCTTTCAAGCAAAATTTGGTGCAAGCGTTCACAATTGTCATTGTAAAGTCTGTTCCGTTTTTTTACACCCTCTTCGGCAATAACATAATTTTTTATTTATGTTACTCATAAGAATAAGGATAAGAAGATGCAGAAAGTGTGATACGTCGACCCTCCTTTAAAAATGTATACTGAATTTTTTGAAGCGGCATACAAGAGTTTGCAATCACGCGCATATCGCTTGCCCGTTTTTGAATGATTTGTTTAAGGCTGGCAAATAACTTTTGTTTTACGTTTAATTTTAATCCTCAAAATTTCAAATGTTTATCGAAGAGCCATCGTAGGACAGTGCTGCAATACATTCTTGAGAAATTAGGAATAGGGAAAGCACAAGGAGTGCAGGAAAAATTTTAAAAAAATGAAAATTTGAATGTCTTAAGAAATTGTTATAGACTAGTTGTCGTATGGGTCGTAAATCATGCTGGTGGGAAAAATATACCCGACAATTTCAGAGTTCTCCAAATCAAAGGCAAAGGTAACAGAAATCATTTGCTATACCTAAGAGCTCCTACTTAACTTTGTATGTGGCTGACTCCGCTCATTTCCAAAGATTTCCTCAATACAGAATTCTTGTCTTTGAAAGTTTTGTAGAATGTGACTATTGTCATGCTCTCCTTCCGTGAAAACATCATGTTTTACTAATCTTAAGTGCATTTTTTTCACTAATGTGGCGCCTTTTCTACTTGCAAAGGATTTCATGCTGATTTTTCGGCTTTTCATGATATACCAGTGTTCATACATCATCAACGACTGTATAATAGATTTACATGTATCTTGGAATTTCAAAAAAGCTATTGTTTTTTAAACGATGATCAACGCACCAGGGGGTGGCGTTCGAAAGCCATACCTATGCTCGCATTCATTGATTTTCTTCGTAAATCTTCAAAAATTCAAATCGGTTCTTGAAAATCGTTGGAGAGAGGGGAAATCTGCTGTTACCGTGCTCATTTTCCCGAAGTCTGATTATAAGCTTGTAATTCTGGGAATCCCAAAAAGATTCGAGATTTTGGATAACCTTACGCGCTTATCCGAAAAAATCAACCACGCCGCCTTCATCGAAAAAGATTCTCGCATCGTCACTGTTATGGAATACCCTACAATCTAGCAAAAAAGTTTCCTCGTAGATAAATTGTCCAAAGATAAGTATGTTTGAAGATAAGACCATTTCAAGGAGAAAATGAGAAAGATGCGGGGTCTAGGTTAGATCAGTCCGCCCTAAAGATAAGTTTACTTGTAGATAAGATGTCAACAACGCGCATTCTGCTTGCTTCAAATAAAACCAACATATCTGTAAACGGACTTAGAGTGGAAGCTAACTCCGCCAGTTTTGAGCCGCCTCCGCAGGCAGCTGGCCTTTCCGCAGTGTTGTTGCATATCGTAGCAGCACCAGTAGTATCCGGATGCGGCCCAAACTGGCTAAGTTCGTTCCCTCACCCAACAGACTTATATAATAGTATATAGTCTTATTCAACCAGTAGGCGAAACATTCCAAGTGGAGCAGCGCGTCCGCACCGCCGCTGGCTTAGAGAGATAGATCAAAATGAAGAGACGCAGACTGCAAAGCGGCGCGAATCGTTGCGAAGCAGACTCCCGCCAGTCCAGTTTCCGCCTAAGCTGAGTTGAAACTTACTATAGGGTCTGAAGGCGACTCAGTCGTAATGAGGAGTTGTCTGCAAAATCTCTGCAGTGCAAGCGTGCCTTTTTTTGGTTTTTTCGTGAAGATAAGGGACTTCTATGCTAGATCTCAGGCTAATATCTAAATTCTTCCTTACAAGGTGCAACTGAGTGTAACAAATTTATAAATCTCATAAATCCCAACATTAAAGAGCCATGTTTTACGCCAAGCGGTTCATACACAAATCTCTCACTCTCGCCGATGTGTCCTCTGGGAGCTGCCGTACGGCTGTCACTCAACCTAATCCTTTGACAGATGCGCATAGTTACACTTGTTGCCCTCGCTTCACATTGACTTTCCGTATGCACCATTCCTTCACGCAGAATTTGTGCTATTTTGCAGATACAAACATATCGGGGAGCAAGTTTTACGCAAAAGCCGTTCGGTGTTGAATTTTATTACATCCTGAGGTGTTCAACATAAAGCCATCTATGTTTACGGATTGGAGGAGATTTACGACCACAACGGCCACTCCTTCCCTACTTTTGCGTTATAATTCAAGCCTCTTGAAGGTGTAAATATTTCTGGAAGATGCTGCAGACGATTCATTACACGCAAAGATAGGACGACATTGCGGAAGCTGTCGGCGTCTTGCTAATCAAGCGTTCTTTCATCCTTCGTACCGTCTGCTGTCTCTCTTACCCAGCTATCTTATTCGGACGTAAAGCGTTCAGTCTGTGCGTGCAATGAATCGTCTATATCTTGTCAGTAGTCTATAGTCTGTCTTAACAGCTTGTCCCTTTTGGGGCAGCTATGGATCCGCAGCGCGGGCGTCACATGCAACTGCTGATCATGCGCGGAACTACTCAAACCACACGCCAGTGAACGCGGCGCAGGCATAGGTGACGTCTCTGTTGGCATGCGGACACTAAGATTGAAACAGACTATGTATGCACTTCTTTACTACGATTATTTCTATAAGGGATTTTGTTAACTGGATCAACTGATCAGCCGTATTCTCCTTTCTGCTCATATGGGTGTATGACCGCTTCTGAAATCTGTCAGCGGAAATCCTCAATTCTTTTCTGCAAATGCACAAAATTGTGGCAGAATCACTGACTATGAACACGGACGCTTTGATTCTAAAGGGAACTTTGCCTGGGAGTGACAACTCAAGACCACACCCTTTCCCAAACACCTCTTCATAGATTCTTGGATGTGCAGATACATTTGGATAAAATTCGTATACATTGAGCACCAACCGTCAGAGGCAACCATGAAACGTCCGCTCGTCAATCGACAACAGTGAAAAATGTCGAAATGCATATGGGAGTATGATGAATTAACATGTCAGAGTTGAAAAAGAGCGTCAATGAAAAGCTCTATGCTGTAATATTAGTGAAGCAGGCCTAAAATTTGGTAACCTGTACAACACTTATTTTCTTTATCAATCTTATAAAAGATAGTTCTGGAAGAATAATATTCTTGTGCGAAAAGTTGTTTGGTAACATTCTTGGTAGATTTGTATCACTGTCATCTAACTCTATAACTTCAACATCGTTCGCGCTTTTGGTCTTGAGTTCACATAAATACTTTACATTATTGATGAGCATGAATTTGAACATTCTATGATTTTTCGTGGTCTGAAGCTCTATACTTCACAGAAATGTGCCATGTATCTCTAACTTGAACTCGCAGCCGCTGCGGTACTTCGTTCTTCTGTCAAAGGAAGTCTTTTCAGATGAAGTGGCTCTTCCACATGGCACTTTTATCATTTTGAAGAGCATCAAACGATGGTCCGCTATGTGTCTTTCTTTTCTGCGGTACATCTCTTTGAAAGAAGTCATGAGTGTTTGGAAGTCTAAATTTGTCAAGCCTCAAGTGGTATAAAATTAGCGAAGTGCTGTCAAAGACACCTTTGCGGATTTCAGCTGGCTGTGTTCCTTCTTCACCTGTATTCGTAAGGCCTAAGGCCTAAGGCATACCTCACGCGATTTTAGTTGCCGCGCGATTTGGCACTGCAACGACTCTCCATAGTTGGTCGTAAACGCACTTTGCTTGGGCCAGACTTGCTGTGTTTGCACTGTTTGCACAATCTACGCACCCATGCATCTGAGAGCGCATGCTTAATCTCTAGACATCTGGCAAATCGCCAAGTCGTGAGGATATCGCGATTTCGCGAAATCGCGAGAACCTCACGCGATTTGGCCAAATCGCCACTTTTACGCGACTTGGCGATTTGCCAGATTCCTACAAATTTACCGTGCGCGCTTCTCGAATGCATAGGGGGTAGTTGTGTGAGTTGTCGCAAATGGGTTAAGTTCTGACCAAAGGAAACGCATTGACACATTGACGGCCGCTTGACCCACATGGTATGTCAAGGCTTGACACACCATATGTATCGTTGAAATGGCTACTATTTTGTGTTAAACCCACTCCGGGAGTTTTCTTTTGTGTTGGATCGAGGCACAACCTTTACTGTTTTTGCCACATTAGAGAGTTATGTAGGTGTACTGTAGATGAAATTGCGAGTGATTTCATCTAAACAATGTTGACCGGTCCGTGAAACGCCTTGGTCTTCAATGTGTTATAGACGAATTACAGAGACTCGCTGTTGTGCCAAACCGCGCAGCGACAGAAAACGCGCGAGGTACAGGACATTCGAAAAATCGTGACGATGGCGCGACCGCGCGCAACACGCACTCACTCCCAATTCTTGGTTTCTATATCTTATCAAATAGTTTTTCTGCTTACATATGATAGTATATAGGGACTGGGAATGACTGACTCCGACTTTCGTTGTGTACCAGCGGCGTTCGATGCTCGTCTGAGCGGAACACGCAAACGCCGCTGGTAGGGCAGTCGCATGCCGCTCGTACGCTGTGGAACTCCGCTGGGAGAAGAATGGTACGCAGCTGGTACGCCAAGAGGGTACGCCTTCGGACCGCATGTTCACCCGATTTTTGTTTACTGTAGTAATTGCAGCATTAGTTGGTTTGAAAATTGCTATATATCGTCATATTTTATGAAGCCGAAATTAGCGCAAAATTTCCTGCTATTTCGATCGATGGACTTCATTGAATCGAAATCATGGGATTGTGGGCCACCCCTAACAGCACCTAGCTGGGATGTTATCGGGTCACTCAATGGGAACAACAACTCACTGATTCCTTTGTCAAGTCCCGAGAAGTGTTGGCTAACCACTAAAATGCTGAGGCGGCCCAACCACTGCGTCGTATCCCATGCGGGTACGGCTCACGCTTACAGCGTGAGGTAATGTGATGGGACGCCGCTCGCCAAAAGACGGTACGCTGCTGGTAGGGCGCATTAAGGAACGCCGTTGGTATGCTAAGCGCACGCCGCTGGTACGCAAAGCCGTTTAGGTACGCCGCTGGTACGCAACGAAAATCTGAGGAGCTTAGCGTTGAGGTGTTATCTATCTGCTTCTATGAGTGTTTTATCCTTCTGTGTGCGGAAAGACCGCAGTCAACTCGTCGTCACGATTTCGAAAATGAAGCATATGCGTTAGGCCTAACGCTTTCCGCTAGTTGTGCGCCTGCTATAGCATGACAAATCATGACAAATTTGGACTTCCAAATACTCATAACTTCTTTCGGAGAGTTGTTCCGCAAAAAAGGAAAGCAGACTTGGAATCAGTGTTCTAACAAGAGAAGGGTACCAGATTGCAGTGGCGAACCGAAATGATATGCATACCATTTGTGCGTTTTGATGAGCTAATTCCAATTCTACCTTTCCTATCTGCTACATGCTTCTTTAGAAGAAGTTATGAGCGTTTGAATGGTCAAACTTGGCAAATTCAGTGCCACATCCCAAGTATACTCAAAACCATGCCAGTCCCAAGCTATTTCGTAGAGCGCATCACGCATCAAAATCCCAACAGTCTCAACCTTTGAGCGGCCATAGCTTCTTCTAAAGAAGCTCATACCAGTAGGGAAGGTAGATTTGGAATCAGCTCATCAAGACGCATCTAATGACATGCATATCATTTCGGTTCGCCACTGCGACCTGATATCCTTCCCTTATAAGACGAGTCTAGTGGTCATTTAATCTCTGACAAGAGATTCGAGCACGCTTTGTGTATCTACATCTGATTAACAAGTTTATGAGTGCGTGTTGACTAGTTTCAGTAACTTTAGAAATTCGTGGGACGACATGTCTGAGCGCGCTTTGTTTGACGAGTTCGAGCATGTCTTTTCATACAAATTCTCAATAGTAACCAAAATGAATCAAAACACACTCAACTTGTTAGTCAGGCACGCGAAGCGTGTCTGTGTCCCCTAGACAGAGAATGAATGTTACGTGAACTTTGTGACTTCCGGTAAAGATTGTATAGCTTAACTTTTGACAAAATCTCATCGATTAATAGATTTCAACTAACTTATTCAATGAGTGATCACAGAAAAATGTCCGATATCTTTGAGACATTTTAGACCCATGGTTTTCCTTAATTCTCCTCCAATGACCTTCAAACTAGATTTTAACCGTTTGAGTACTGCGGTACACCAAGTTCGCGCCACTTGATGAGGAAAGGCGCTCTTTTCCCGCAAATCTGCGCCCGCTTCGTGACTTTGGTCAGCTGAATTCTTTTCCCTAGAACAGCTTTTTTTGCATTGAATATTGATTCCTTACTGATAGCGCCCGAATTCATTGCTATTCCACATACATTTCGTCATGGAGTCTGTTTCAGTTCACCCGATGGAAGATTACAAATATTTATTCAAAGTGGTGTTAGTTGGAAATGCCGGTGTTGGAAAAACATGTCTTGTCCGGAAATTTACTCAGGTAAGAAAGTTCCCTTTTGTTTACCGCCTTGCTTATCCTACCATCTAATGTTCTTTGAATCAGGGTATATTTCCACCTGGCCAGAGTGCAACTATCGGTGTGGATTTTATGATAAAAACAGTCAAAATAGACAATGATAAAATCAAAGTGAGTTCCTTTTTTATTGAATTCGTATGCTTCTGTTTTCTGCACTTGACTTGCTTGCGTCTACACGTGCTCTTATCATTTTATGATCGCTGTTTTGATTATCGTATATGTCTGGATCGTTTTCCTTTTTGAACATTTATATTCTTTGTAAAGCCCTCATAGAATGCTAGCGTCCATGCTAGAGATTTTCCGTTTCATCATCTATACTCCTGTATTTGCAAGTGAGAAGATAGCATTTAGTCTCTGAGATAGCTTTCAAACTCCGAAACTAGCAAATAGATCATTAGACGTGTAAGCTTAAAGCCTTTTGTGGCAATTTGTTTTTTTTTTCGTTATAGGGCGAGTTTAATGCAGTTGAGCAAAGAGTTGAAGTCTCTATGTGAATCAGTTCAAGTTTAGCTTGAATAACATCCTTTGAGACCGAGTTTATGTTTCGGTAACACTACTTCTTCTAGTCAACTTCCCCTTTTTGGACGCGCAGAAACGTGGCGGTTTACTTATTGCGCCTCTCGATTTTCTCGCCATTAACCTTGGTGGTTTTTGAGGCTCGCAACTTCGAAAAGTGCTGAATAAAACCTTACATGTATGTCGACTTCATTCGCCATGCTTAGCCCGCGTAGCTGAAAGAGGACGATGCTCCTCAAAGGGACTGCCTCTATTATGATTTGATTTTCTTCCCCATTTCAGTCTCTTCTTTCTACCCTAAAGTCTTGCAGATAAGTCCGCCATCAGATAAGTCTGCTTTGTTCTCAGATGAAAAACAAGGATTTTTCTATCATATTTTTAGCAAAAGCGTTATTTTCGGTATTGTGAATTATAAGACAGAATTTGAGATTTCGTGACTCGAGAATGATACTCCTCTTCTCCTCTTCCCTTATCTGTAGGCGGACTTATCTGTAAGCGGATTTATCTGCAAGACTTTTGGCGGCGCTAGTGCAATTTTTCATCGATTTTTCTTGTAAAAAAGGCGGAAAGTGTAATTTAGGGTATATAACAAAAGATTTTGGGAAAACTGAACTAACTCAAGAGACATTCCTACGTTCAAAATAAAACTGATCTCCCGTTCATCCATTCCTTCTTTTAGCGGAACACAAACACTGATTCAGCTATTCGTGAATAGCGCGTTTCCATGCTTGCACACATGTTTCTTATGCCTTTTCAACTCAAAGAGATTAGATTGCGGTGGTCTTGTCAATAGTTCACAATAATTCTATGATATACGTTGTTATCGAGACCTGGTCTACCTCTGATAAAAGTGATAACGGTACTGTCGCTCCTGAGTATTTCCAGCAGTTTATAAGATCGAAAAATTCTACCTTTTTCTACTTTCTCGGCAAAGGAGAAGCCGTACAATTCAAATTATTTTCTATCTGTAGGCGGCCCTTTCATTTCTTTAGATATTAAAGGTAAACAAAGCTGTCGATTATGCAAAATAGCTTTGAGCGTGGCTTTTGACAACAGCAAATCAAACAAAGATATCTGTGTCTATAAGTTCTCGTTAATTCCTCTATCATTGAGAGTTTTCGTCGATGAAAGTTGGTTTCAAGGGAATTAGTAAGACATCACACTTGAACGCAATTTGTACTACTTGTTGTAAGTACAAATCTGTAAAATCTTGCATAAGAATCGAGCGTATATTTCAGTCATGATGTCATGATATGTCTATACTTTTGATCCGAATGTGCCCCTCGGTGAGCAGGGGGGAGGGATTAACCATTGACATTTATCCATGAAGAATACCTGAGAACTCGGTTCTCGTATTTGTTGCCTCTTCGAAGGAGTCCATTTTTGAATTTCAAAATATAGCTAAAATGGGCCGGTGACGACTTCGCTGTCTCTCAATTTTCTCTTCATTCTCTTTAGCCCACAAACTTTATTTATTGAGCAGATAAATGTATGATTTCTGATTCATTACAGTTGCTTGACACTTTTTAGATGTTGCTAATTAGCTGAAGCTTTTTGAAAACACTTTTGCCCATCAGCCTTTTTGGTCGACTATAATCTGGCCACCTCGTCGTTTTCTTCCTAAACTGTCCTGCTTTTGATGCCAAGTTTTCAGTTGCAAATTTGGGATACTGCTGGCCAGGAACGTTTCCGATCTATAACGCAGAGCTATTATCGCAGTGCACACGCTATTGTCCTAGTGTACGATGTCGCTTGTCAACCATCATTTGATTGTCTGCCGGAGTGGTTAGCAGAAATTGAATCATACGCTAATAGAAAAGTTTTAAAAATTTTAGTAGGTAAGTTTGCCACGTCAGGCCAAGCGAAAGTATTTTGTACATTCTCATTCCAGGTAATAAAGTAGACAAGGGTGATGAACGTGAAGTGCCGGAACGTATTGGCCAAGATTTTTCTGAAATGAATGGTTTCGATTACTTCCTGGAGACTTCCGCTCTGGATGCTACGAATGTTGATAATTTATTCGAACACGTTGCTCGACGGCTAACTGATGATATGAAGGCGACTGATCAAAGGTAAGCGTTTTACAGTTTTGTTTTCATCCCGTCATTTTTTGACGTGGCTTGTGCTGGTCCGATCTTGTTATTTATTAAAAAAAGTGCATATGCAGGATGTAAGAAAGAATGTACCTACTGTCTGATTAACTCTCTTGTCATGAAGTTTTTCGAGAAACTTCGGGCATCATTCCATAGAGCTGACTCCAACAGATTTTCAGTATGGAGCGAATTACAAATCTCTCCTCATTACTGTAGAATCAACTAGGAAGCAACATATGGCGCCACCGTGAGATAGGCCGTTGGAAGAAAATTCCAAAAAATCTGGAAAATGGTGCAGCAAGGTTTTCATCCATGTTGATAGCATAACTTTTGCAGGGCTTACTGAGTGACACAATCGTATTTTACGCTCTGTCTAAGCAGCGACTCTGTCTAACTTAGTGTAGGTGTTTCAGATTTTTTTGCTTTCCTAAAGGGTAGAACATGAACCTTAATTACTCAATACTTCATTAGAGTACCTATCGTAATATACAGTAATAAAAGGAGATCATAATTAGCTTCACACTGTAATTCTTAGTTGACATGAGCTCTATAAAATAGTACCTTAAGCTTTTCGAAAGACTTCATGAGAAGAGAGTTATTAGCAATCAAGCAGTAGGCACATTTTTCAAGCACGCCTTATATATATTCCTCTTCATTTCGATGGCGTTACGAGCGGAATTATAATAATTTTTCTCCCTCAATGTGCTATGTAATTTTCTTCGAACATTATTTTTAAGTACAGTCTCCTACCAGTAATTCAGTTTCAGCGAGATTTCTGTGAAGTACATTTGATTTTGTCTAATATCGTGCTTGGCCCTTTCCTATTTATCTTGGATATTTTGCAACTTTTTCACACATCTCCCTTGCAGATACAGTCATTACAAATCAGACATCAATGGTGGTAATCAGCCTATAAATCTTGTGGAGAGAGCTCAAAATACGATCAATGCATGTTGTGGAAGGACATGAAAGTCACATCTTTCTAGCGTTTCACTTTTTTTGCCTTTACCCGTACCTTTCTTTCACATCATCTTACTTATTCCTATTTCGTTAATATCTGTGACGAGCTGAAATCTCATGCAATATAATAATCGAACGTTTCTTTGTTTCTCATTCTTGTTTTCGATACGAATTTCATTCTTAAGAGTTTCGGGGTGAATGTAATTGCATTATGTTTATCCTTGATGCCGGTATCATCTGTGATATAACCCTAGTAAAACATAGTAAATGAATTTATGACCCTCTCTAGTGATTCAAGCAGTGCATCAAATACTCTGCTACCCTCTCGTCTCTGGTGAATTTGCGCCTTTTTCACACAGTATTATAAATGTATTTCTACGCTTTCTAGCTTCGACAGCTCATTTGACACATTTTCATATTGTTGTTTTGTTTACTTCTTTGTTCATACTAACCCTCTAAATGCCAAATATAAATTGTAATTTACGTTCGCATCTTCTTAATAATCATGAGGTTTGTACTTACACCAACTGATACAATATGAACAATGTCTATACGTTTTTTTTGTTTATCATGAAGATCTGCAATAGCAGTGTGACACAAGTGTTTCGCCCACTATTGATTGATTTCGTTTGTGAGAGAAGGATCTGGTCTGTGATCATTAACGACTCCCTAAATGAAGAGGAAAATGAGGGGTTAGAAAAATCAGTTTCATTTTTGAAGGCCGTTTATTTTTCACTAGCTTCAAGTCATAGTAAAGTGAAAATTTTCTCTTTCAAGGAAAGAGAATTGTTGCTTTACTGATGACCCGAAACTGCGCGGTAAATTCGTGATTATGAGAATAGCTTGATTATTTTCGCAAACTAAGGTCGACCAAATTCAAAAACATGATCAAGCTTCGTACCCGTTCCTCATGTGCTTGTTTCGCGATGGAACATTTGAGAGTTGGACTTTGATCGCTGTTTTTATCAGTTGACTGTCTGACCGGCCAAGTTCACGATGCCACTCGTTCCTTCGAGGCTATTGCTTGGCTTGGTAAGGTGAGTGCTGAATACTGAAGATTTTTCTAAATAGCTGGAACCACCTTTCCTTCTTGAGACTAATCAAGCGTCAAATTGACCTTATACTTGATCGCAAAATGTTGGTATTCAATCATTCTATGTTCTTGGCCTTCGATCTGTCCCTCACAAACTGGCTCCTAGTGAATAATGCACCATAAGCGGACTAATCGACTTGATCGCATGATTGATTGCAATTATTAGTATTGAGTGGTAGAGTTGTAACTTTAAGGGTACGTTCGTGATCTATTTGGCTTTTTGCTGCCAAAGTGGAGATATTTTTTAAAGTATCATGTTTTGTTTTACACCTTTATCGAGCTCTAAATTCAAGCCATTGCTCAAAAAAACCGAGTGACGGATAGTTGATCGTTGCAAAAAAAAAACATTGAGGAGGGTCATTCGTTCTGCAAAGAGTAGTAATGATAATTTAGCGTACTTTGAGCTGCTAGTTTCTAAATGGCATATTTTGAGATACGCAAGCCAATATTAGTCATGGTGAGCAGTAATTAGCAGCCTTCCCTCCTTCGTTCACCGAACGAGGTGTTTGATTCGTGATGTAGCGAAGCAAAATTCATAAAACAATTTCGCAATTGTTTCAATGATATCTTGCTTTTCTTCTAATCATAAGTGGAAGCGTAATCGGATCTTCTTCTGAAGTGAAGCAAGCGAGGCAGGCTTTGTCTGCTTCTTTGCAAATTCCAGAAAATGTGAGGGAAGGCTTATTTGATTTTTTTTCGGCTGTCATCAACGCAAACGCTAAAACTTGAATATGAAGTCTGGCAAATAAGCAAGCCTAAAATTACAATTCTTGACCACTTCTGGCAACGAAAGTTGGGTACCGGACCGCAGCGTCGAGATCATGTATTCCACATGAAGTTCGTAGACAGGTTAGGGTGGTCTAAGCTAAGACGCCGTTCCACAAGTGTTGCGCTAGTCATGTTTTCGGAGGCGGTACAGGAAATAAAATCGTACAAACTATCATTTTAAAATCGAGACGACGGAATTGACTGCGTCTTCGCGCCCACAGAAGCATGAAACAATCATTTCCATTGTGTAAATACTATCATATGGGAGCAAAAAAACCATTCGAGTAGAGATGAAAACCAAGAAAATGCGATTGCCGGAAGACGCGGGCGTGTTGCGCGCTATCGCGCCATCGTCACTATTTTTCGAATGCACTATACTTGTTCTGACATTGAAATGACAAAATTTCTGGAAATTCTTCGGAACTTGCCCTGTAAACATTTATCTAGGCTGTTGTGCTCCTACTTTTCCTCGAGTTTCGGGGATAGGGTCCTTTAATTTTGGAGAGCATCTCAAAATTTTTTGGAGGGCGAACTGACTCTATACCCTCTGGCCCAAAAGAAAAGTTTCTATGGCTGCGAATAGAGGGTGAATAGCCATGCCGCAGGAAATAATCTCTACAAAACATCCTTTGCATTCACATTTTCCAAAATTTGAAAAGATTTGACTGTTTATACGATATAGAATAGTGAAGGGAATCATTGAGCAGTAAAAAAGCGTAATTTTTATAGGAACAGAACATAAATTTATCTCAAACCTTAGAGGACTTTTTTGAAAGTATTGAATTTATATATAATACCATCTTCGAGGTGACTTGAGGTGCCTCCTGTTGATGTAAAATGAAAATGAAGGTATTTAAGTTCGGCTAAAAATCGGTGCTCCACAGCATGACTTTAGACGCTCCTCAGATTTGCGCAAATCTTAGCATCTATTTCTTGAAGTCTTTCTCAACGGTCATATGATATATTTTGAACAGTATAGATAAACTTGATGAAGTTATTACCTTGATCAGCATGGGTGGGAATAGGAAAACAGATTAGGGAAGTCACTAAAATAGCTTTTTCTTCCCAAAACGTGTTCTAAATTCGCTTCAGGATGTCATCAGGGCCAGCGCAATATCGTCATGCCAAGATTGGAGAGTTTACTCAGGTAACGCACACTGTATGTGAGTTAGGAAATAGAGTCACTGAGCAATGTTTTCAGACCCCACCTATCATTCACAATCCCTATAGTGATGACCCGCTGTTGAAGCGAACGCTGCGGAGGCTTGTGCCTCGAAAAGATTTTGATCGTGTAGGAGCTTAAGCTTTTGCTTCCTTATTTGCCTAAAAGGAAAATGTCTTGTTTCGTGCAGGTTTCAAAGGACCTATCAACTTTTGGTGATCGTGTCGTCACCGAAATTGATTACCTAGGACGACAATGTGAACTAAATCAACCCAGATTGGAACAATATGACGCTTGGGGACGAAGGGTGAGTTCTAATCAAACTAGTAGACTTCTAATTGTTAGGTTCTCACCAAACTCTGTACTGCCACATTTCAGGTGGACAATCTAATCGTCTGCCCTGAGTGGTATCGTTTGAAAGAGATTTGCGCAGAAGAAGGACTGATAGGTAAACATTCAAACGCAAAAGCAGAAAGTTCCTGTTGTTTACTGTCGGCAATCAAATTTGATATATCCTAGAAATATAGTAAAAAATTGTAGAAAAATTTTTTAGGGGCCACAAACACCTTGCCAAATAATTTTCGGTTTGTAGCTTGTCAAAAAAATCTTTGAAGGCGTAAGCAAGGTCTATATATTCTAGAAAATCTGTCGCCCCTTACTCTTCAAAAAATCGCGACATTTCTGTTTGGAACATATATCGCTATTTATGTAGAAAATATGTGATTTCCGCCTTTGGGGCATTTCAGTAATTTCCACTTCCTTTTCCCAAATTATTGGGATTACTTTCTTTTTTTAGCTCTCGGGTATGATGACAAAGTGGACCCCATTACGAGGCGAATGCACCAGGTTAGTGCTGTTTTGAATTGTCTTTACAATCAGATTTCGCGTATCGGTGGTATCTATGTCTGTGTGCTTACAGTATCGATGAAAATAACACCATGTCAAAATTTCTAAGTAGCTTTTGATCAGCTTGTTTATAGATAGCCAAACTCTACTTATTCTCACCATCAGCTGGTTTGGTCACTTGTCCTATGGCCATGACTGATGGAGCTGTAAAGACATTGAAGGTTTGTTACAGTAGCCTAAATTCGAACCTGCGACTGTATACATGATTTACAGACCCTGGGCCTCTATGGGAAACACGACCTGGCCACGGAATCCATAGAGCGCTTACTATCCACAGACGGTAAGAAAGCGTGGACCTCTGGACAATGGATGACTGAGAAAGGTGGTGGAAGCGATGTTGGCGGAGGTTGTGATACATACGCTGTACATACGGAAGGTGACAAGGTAAGCTCTTGCTATTTGTAGATTGGGGGAATATCGATTATGAAGTCAAAAAGGCAATATACAGTCTATGTATAAAAGAACCTTTACCCTGCGCGTGGTAATGTTACAAATTTATACTAAATATTCTAAAAACGAAAAAGTAATCTGGAAAATTTGGCCACCTGCGACTGACAATTTACTTTACTTTACTTTAAACACTCAAAGGTGTAACACAAAAGAAAAAGAAAGACCAAAATACAATGCCAGATTAATTATTATTAATCCATTAATTACTATTATTCCAGATCATTATCAATAATTGTTTCGTTCCATTCCAAACCATTATCCGTTTTGATCAGAAGGTCGTAGAAGAGCGCGTTACCTGCATTACGCATGTCACCAGCTTTTGTAATCAAAAAAGCAAAATTTATTTACATTTTAGAATTATTTCCCACTCTCAGTTTGCTGTCCGTCCGTCCTTCAAAAGCGTTTGATACATGCTAAGAATAATATATTTCGGAATCACTTCAGTTTGTCAAAGTCTGGTAGTTTGGAGTCTCTACAGCAGTGTTGGTATGTTGTGATCATTGAAAGTAAACTTTCATCCCCTACTCCAAAATTGGAAATTTTCCAGAATTTATGAGAGGAAGAGTAGAAATGTAACAAATACTGTAGATATTGTGTTTCAATCCTTCCAAACAAAATATATCAGAATTGTTCCCCAAGGAAAGCATGCACAAATGTGTTATCCATGTCCCAACATTTCTTCTGAATTTGTGCTTTCACCGTGTTCCACTGTGAAATTATCCGTTTTCCCTTGAACAAGATTTAGATTTAGTATAGTCTTCATGGCTACAAATGGTTCAGTTCAGCAATAGATGCAGACATCGCCTTGACCCTAGCTAGGATAGTCGACAAGGATGGAAAGTCAGGAAAAGTGAGTGGTTTTGTTTTGTAGACCAGATTCTGCGCTATTATTCATTTGAATTTGCTTGCGGTCAGAGAAAATCTCATATCAGTCATGGCTCAAAATTTCTAGTACAATTAGCTCTTCAGGGATCTCGTGGTCTGTCTCTATTTCGTCTCAAGATCAGAAATACTGATGGCAAACTAAATGGTATACAGATGATACGGCTGAAGAATAAACTTGGGACAAAGCAGGTACCTTCTTTTCGCTATAAATCATTTTTTTCATATCTCTATTCTAGTTACCCACTGCTGAATTACTGCTTGATGGTACCGTAGCGCACTGTCTTGGGGCTCCAGGAAGAGGTGTTGCGAATATCTCCAACATGCTCAATATTACGAGAATACACAATGCTGTAGCCTCAGTGTCCGGCATGAGAAGGTACTCCAGAATCACATGGTTCAAAACGAATGGGTAAAATACGTAACCTCAATTTGTTTGAAAAGGTGGTGAACTTTCGGAAAATTTTCTTCTTTATTTCCTGGATTATAAAATTATCTCATCTTGCCTTGCTAGAACAAGTTGCTCAAAAATTCTGTTATCTTCACATACATCATTCAAAAATTTCGTGGTCCATTTTTAGCCCCCTTCCTCTCTTCCGCTGATACCGTAATCTTCAGGGCGCTATCGCTGGCACGAGACTATTCGACTCGACGTATAGTATTCGGACGTCCGCAAGCGGAATGGCCCCTACATACGGCCACATTGGCAAAGATGGAGGTTGAGACGAGAGGATGTTTTTTGCTTTTGATGGAAGCAGCACAGCTAATGGGATTATCTGTACGTAGTTTTGAAACTTTTATATAACTCTAGCCGAAATTAGGAAAAAAAAGGATCGTATGAGTCAATATCCCAATCTTTTGGCGGAAGTGCACTGACTCTTAAAGGCAGTGGCTGTTGAAATTGCGACGCGAGTTCTCCATTCTTCCTTGGCTTTCTGGTTGCGCTGAGCCCAAGACTCTGCTGAAATCGCGCGAAATTGTCAAAAAAAACTTTTGATGGCATTTTTATGCCTTGGAGTCTGCTGACGGGCTAGACGAGCCGCCAACTGAGGCGCGATTGGCTGCCTGAGCCAACCAGCAGGAGACTGTATGGGTGGAGTAACTCCATCCATACAGTCTCCTGCACTTAGTCACTGTTTACAGCGGTCTCACCTTCCAGCCCCTTCAACAATCTGCAAGGCCGGCAAACGCTGTGACACTTTTCTGACAACTTTGAGCGATTTCAAGCATATCACTGGACTGAGCGCATTCAGAAGACCAAGAAGAGGTAGAAAAATCGCGTGGCAATTTCCCGAGCTACTGCCTTCAAGAGCAGCATTTCGAAACAATCAAGCTAAGACTTCTAATACCTGGACTCCCGTATCGTCGATTCATAAATGCAGCTCGTGGAGGAAGACTGTTAAAACAGGCTTCTTCTAAGGCATCGGACAGAGTTCACGCGATGATCGTCGCGATTTAATCGCCGCTATTTTCATTCATTTTCATTTTACATTCAACAATTTCGAACTGGAAAAGTATCACAACCGAAATGCAAGCTGATCGGCATGCAATGAACTCGTAACAGTTGTCTTGTAGCGATCGAATCGCGACGATCAAATCGCGTGAACTCTGTCCGAGGCCTAAAGCACACACTTCATTTTCGATAAATAGCAAAGCATGACACAGTCAGACATGCAGAGTCGTTGTGAGACCTTGCCGCAATGACTGTGTGCGATAAGTGTGCCCTTCGTCGGTGGGTTTTTATGGGTGGGTGGGATCCCCTTCCCCCATCTTTGCCGAGGCTCTGCTTAAAGTTCTACCTAAGTACTTGCTTCATTTTATGCTCCTCTGAATTAACTACTAATTTATTGGGCTTACAATACAAAAATAAATTCGTACTAAGTGAAGCGAACAACATTTATATTCCGCATTTAACTTTGTATCAACTCCTGCTTCAGTTTCACTTCGAAGTTTCTCTGTTTGGAGTATGTGGGAGCAAAACCTAAAACTTATATTTAGTTAGTATAAAGCGGTAACAGAAGCACCTTATCAATATTTTTCTCAAGTTCTTCTGCCTCCTTGTAACTCAAATCATCCATAGTATTCTCATCATAATCGAGTTCTCCTCGGCATGGATCGTAACCATAAACTATGAACACTGGACATTCCGACTCCCATGTGATGTGTTTACTGAAATTTTTCCCAAATTTAGTTTAGAAATCAGGAAAATTAGGAACGTTTGATCTTACTCCTTGTATCTAGCTTTTCTTGCTAGCATCTCTTCTTGTGTCATTGCGTTTTCTATATTGGTGTGGGCTGGGTGGTTAGGTAGCGAAGAGAGGTCGAATTTCTGAAGATAGGTTTGTTTTTGTTGGATGATGTTTGTTCAAATTATTCAGGAGTAAATTATTAGCCGTAAAAGCTTGCAACCACCGAAAGACAGCGTCTGAGCAAAGGTACCCATCTCTTTAGGTCCCCGACAGACTTCACGCGATTTGATCGTCGCGACTGAATCGCGACGAGACATCATCATTCCATGCCGATCAACTTGCATTTCGGTTGTGATACTTTTCCAGCCCGAAATTTTTGAATGTGAAATGAAAATGAATGGAAATGTCGGCGATTGAGTCGCGACGATCAAATCGCGTGAAGTCTGTCCGGGGCCTTAAGCGGACCAATCACGGTCCTCGTATACGGTAGATAGTACGATTTGGGCTGAAGTTTAAAACCAATTTCCTTAGCTATGAATGAACTGTATGAGCTGCCATATCAGCATCTACTTAGAGATTCCCGAACAGTTTCCACAAACCGAGTAATATCGATTTACACAACCTTCGAAGGCACCGTATCTTCAACGAGGGACTTAGTCGAGAATCAGTAAAACGTCTCTTACCCCCCTCCCTCCCTCCCCATCCTAAAATTTTTTCCTCCCCTTAGCGCTTACCATATAATTCTTCCTAATAATCGAAACTTTCTGCAGCTTCAAATCTGGATACCATGTCAAGGTTCTATGACGAATTTTTGCCTCCAGACCAGCATCGCCCATGCAGCAGTCACCGGCTGGTGGCTAAATATCGTGAAATAAAAAAATTTCGACTTTCCATAAGCATTTACGTTGACAATTTCGCATGTGGCTATATCGGCAACGCTACTTTGCCATGAGTCGAAGGTCTTGCTTTTGCTCGCGTCTTTTCTTCGCATACACCATCCTATAATCCTTCTTCTTCTTCGTAATTGCAAGTCTTATGAAGAATCAAACCTTTCGATTGTTCACCGCTTCCCCGACTTTGTTTTAGACAGCATATTAGCTGAAAGGACTTTCTATACAATTTTGCTCTAAAGCAGTCATTTCCATTACCTTGGTTACCATGATGATTGTGAACGTGTGCAGTAGTATCGCTGTGTAGTAAGGTAGAAGATCTAGACTGATCGATGAGTGGAATGGAATCATAATGAGTAACATCCATTGAATGATCTGTGAGAGAAATTGATAGCCGATGGCTAAATGTTTATTTAAATTTCGCGACTTTATGGTTAAGGGCCGGGCATACTTCACATCAGTCGCGACGCGATTTGGCAATATTCCAACTGCCCATAATTCATTGTAAGTACATTTCAAATGTAGAGAAGATAAGGCATTCTCTCAATCCGTTGAATTATAACACACTATGCATGTGCAGCCTGCTAGTGTTGGATCTGAAGACTTGGCGAATTGCCAAATCGCATCGCGACTGGAATCGCGTGAAGTATGCCCGGCCCATAACTATATGTTAAATTTGAACTACACATATAGATTGACTTCTAATGAGTTCTCTGAATATAGATTTTTGGTTTTTTCATACTTAGCTTAACAAATCTACAAAAGTGACAGCTACGTCTAATAACTTATATGCCTTTCCGCCATAGCGCTCAATGAATATAGATTAGAATCTATTGACTACAGAGAAATAATAGTTTTTAGTGGTTTTAATGCTACCAATCCTTTTGCAAAAAAAAAATGCTAGCAGTCATAAGATTTTACCATCACTACATAGTTCAGGAATCCAACGGCGCATCCGCTGAGCAGAATGCTCTTCTACGACTCATTACTCCAGTTATAAAGCTTTATGCTGGGAAAATGGTAAGATTTCTGCCAAAAATTTAGCGAGATTTCTCCCACCTTTAACAGCAGAAGAAAGTATTTGGATAGGTAATCTGTTGTGGAAATCAGTTCTGTTTCTAGTGTGTGCCTCTAATTTCTGAAGGTATGGAATGTTTTGGAGGTCAAGGTTACATTGAAGACACAGGAATAGCAGCAGGACTGCGAGATGCGCAGGTAGAGTCACTTGCTTTTACTTCTTATTTGAAATCATAATTTTGTCAGGTTACACCCATATGGGAAGGAACGACAAACGTTCTCTCCCTTGACGTCTTACGAGTGTTCGCTGCCAAGGCCAATGTCTACGATTTGTTTGGACAAAGGGTAGAAGAGCATTTGCCCAGAAACGGTACGATTTCCCCAGTTTGATGGTAGTGAATCGAAAAACGCTATCTTTTCAAAGTATGGTTGAACTTCAGGTGTCGAGGGCCTTGAGAAATCGACTTCCGAAGTGCGCAAAGCTATCTCAAAGCTCCGCTCCATTTTGTACAAGGCAATTGAGGTATCTGATGGCTCAGTCCATGTCGATGCCTGTGCGAGACAAATTGCTTTCGGAATAGCTAGGATTTGGGCAGGTAAATAAGATTTTGTCTCATTGTAGTTATTGTTTGGACTTCGACACTGTCATCATTTTCAGTATTTTCAAATGTGAAAATTTTGCCGGATCAGGACCTTTTTCAATGGCTTGCGCGTTCTCCTACCCTTAAGTAACACGGCAATCGTTGATCCTGACGCGATCAGTAAAGTAAAGTAACAGTAAACTTATAGTGTTGGCTCCTAGAGAAGAAGCAATTCTCGAAGAACGCCTGTGGCTAGAGAGAAGCAGTTTTGGTATGCACCGGTTTATCGAAACACTCATCTCTTTTGGCAATTATCTTTGGACTTTTTTGCTCTAGAAAACTGAATTATTTAATGTTTCTAGCATGTATCAGATTGTCCCAGAAGTAACTTTTTTTAAAATAATTCAAGCTGTTCCTATTTTCCTAATAGACTTACAACTTGGTCATTATACCGTCACATAGCAGTACTCGAATATGCCTTTACTGGATTTTTTTTCGTACTTAGAAAGAAGAAAAAATAGTCCAAAATGGCAAACTTCGCCCCCATCCTCCCACATTTGCGTACGTGCTCACATAATCAAGAAATACCAAGTTTTACATGAAAAACTTGAAATAAGTGGCATTGGCATTTTCGGACCATCATTGTTTCTCAATTTTGAAAAATCCACCAAATATTAGGTTGAACCGAAAGTTCTTTCCCCCCATTTTAAAAAATTCATAACTTCCGATTTTTCCAACCAATTTGGCTGCATTCATTTTTGTATGAAAGAGTAGCTCATGCTCTTCATAATGACATCTTAGCTGCTTGCTAACGATCATTTGTTGCAGATAGGAACGATAGAAGAAAATTAGTCAAAATTTGAATTTTCTGTGTAGGGTCATAAAAAATCGGAAACTTGCAACAAAAATCGGAGCAGTCAGTATTGTAGGTTCTTTTACCAGCTCTTTCTAATGATGCAAAGTTTGCACCGATTGAGCGTCTCTGTCGAAAGTTATGATTTTCGAGCAAGCAATACAAAAGGGCGAATTTGATTTATTAGGTGGGTCCAAAAGTTCGTTCGCCGGTTTTTCAAAAAATCATAACTTCCTTCCGAATGGCACGATTTTTGCTCAGCTAGAAAGGGAAGGTCACAAACCCATGTTTATGACTTTTTTGCCTTTTCTGTGACGTTTTCAAGCTTTTTTGAGCATGCTCAAAAATTGCAAAAGTGAAGAAATTCTCTTAATTTGCTTCTAACTCTCGATCTAGTTCGTTTTAATTCATGAAAAAAGTACCATTGTAATGTACAAAATTTTCTCTATCGAATAAAAATACTTCCAAAATTTTTCGTGATCCAGCTTGAAAAATGTCCATCTTGACTAATTTTACTCAATTGCTTCTAACTCTCGAACTTTCTCACGTTATTTCGTGGCAAAGATACTCCTGTAAAGAGAAAGATTTCCTCTTTCGAATGAAGATTAATTCGAGAATTTCCACCGAGAAGGAAGGAAGTTATGATTTTTTGAAAATCCTGCGAACGGACTTTTGGACCCACCTAATATTTTGGCATTTTTCAGAGAAATCATGACTTTTGATAGAGACGCTCAATCGACGTAAACTTTGCACCATTAGAAAGAGCTGTAAAAGAACCTACAATACTGACTGCTCCGATTTTTTTTTTGCAAGTTTCCGATTTTTTATGCAGAAAATTCAAATTTTGACTAATTTTCTTCTATCGTTCCTATCTGCAACAAATGATCGTTAGCAAGCAGCTAAGATGTCATTATGAAGACCATGAGTTACTCTTTCATACAAAAATTAATGCAGCCAAATTGGTTGAAAAAATCGGAAGTTATGAATTTTTGAAAATGGGGGGGGAAAGAACTTTCTGTTCAACCTAATACATTTTTGGGTATATTAAGTGTCTACTGTATAAAGACCAAGTTGGAAGTGCCTAAAAATTTTAGGAGATCCGATTTTTAGGGTAGCTGAAAAATTTTGATTTTTGGCCGAACTTCCTGTCTTTTATGAGCTGTAAATGCAATTTTGGCAGCCACTGTGAGAATAGAGATGGCACCCCCTTGAAAAAATTTATTTGCCTTGAGACAAAAAATCACATCAACTTGATATCGATTACTCCGTCAGTAGGCCTAGAAATTTGAAACCGAAAGCTTTTAGGCTCTCTACTTATCCGCTACGCTTGTGACGAAGGTGCAACGAAAGCCGATGCAGAGGTCGCAGAGAGGTAATTTCGTGATTCTTAGCTAGCTTCTTGATGACTTCAATCACCACCATTTTTTTAGGTGGTGCTCTGAGCAACCGCTCATGGATCTACAAATGAGCTGGCTAGGCAAAGGTCGCGTAGAGCTCGATCGCAAGATAGTGTTCGAAAATTTTTCGGAAAAATTCACCAACAAACTTTGAGCGAGCTTTTCCATCTTATTGTATGCAGTACGATACGTGAATAGAATCCACAGTCTTCATCGTTCATCAACCAGAAATCTTTATTAATAAATGATCTACCTCACTCTTCTTTACAATTGCGTTAAAAATGGCAGATCACGTTTGTAGTAACTTTGGTTCATATCATTTTGGTAGGATACTGCCAGTAGAACAAAACCAGTGTGCTCCATTCGGATAGATTTGGATGAGTTAGAACAAGTCCCAGTTTAGCTGTCCAAGCGACCGTCGAAGCAGTGGGCTTTTTTCAAAAGCAGGAAAATTTCTGCAATTGTATGAATTGACTTGTAGACTGATGCTTCTGAGATCCAAGTCAAAAAGTCTCAAGCACCATCTTCTGAATTAAATATTTCAAGCATAATTGTCGAAGAAATGGTCTACCTATAAACACTATGTTCTGCAAGTTTGCATAAGCTGAGAGGAGAAGTTTGGCTTGGAAAGTAGTTGATCCTGAATAAATGTTATTGAATTCTTGTTGCATGGTACTTTATTTTTTTGTGCCAGATACAGTCTGTGTTAAAGATTTCTTCCTTTCCGAGCAGCATAAGCGCAACGCAACGAATAGGCACATCAGGAGAGCCACTGAGACAGGACACGCATCAAATGAAAAGGAGGTGAAAACCCAACAACGCGGCGAAACAAGCATTGCTGACAATTCTACCAAGTTGCAAAAGAACCCAGAGCTAAGCTTGAAAGATCGCGTCCACGAAGTGGTACACATGATCCTGGGAAGCACAAAGCCAGGAAAAAGAAGATCGAGAAAAGGAGCTGGATGACGAAGTGCAAAAAGTCATAAAGGGAAAGAGGGATGCTTACAAGCGATGGCGTAAGACGAAATTGGAGGACGGTCGCCGGACATACCAACATGCCAAACACGCTGCGAAATCTTCCGTAAAGGAGGCAAAGCAGATGTACTTGAAAAAGCTCTACGATCATTTGGAGTTTCGCGAGAGTGAACGTGAGATATACCGGAAAGCGAGAAGAAGAGCGGAATCTACGAAAAATGGAACACTTTGTCCATATCAAAGACAAATTTGTTAGGACGCTAAGAAAACCAGAGGACATCACCGAAAGATGGAAAACCCACTTCGAAGAAGTGTCTACCAAGACCGCACCATCAACATTTCAGAAGCAAGCTTCATAGAAGGACCAGTATTAGCAGTCACGGAAGTGGAAGTATGGCTAGCCGAAAGAAGAACAAAGAATGGCAAAGTGGCTGATCCAGATGACATACCAAGCGAGGTTTCGAAAATATGTGGACAATCCGGAGTCACATGGCTAACGAGTCCCCTCAATCAAATCATAAGAGGCAAAAGTATGCCTCGCGACTGGTACACCAGCACGACGATCCCGATATGGAAGAACAAAGAGACATAGCAGACTGCGCATCCTCCCGACCGATCCGAATGATAAACCACAGTCTAAAAATCTTCAAGCGAAAAATCGAAACGCGTCTTTGAGATATCATAGAGCTGCCACCGAATCAATGCGGATTCGTGAAAGGAGTAGGTACAACCAACGCCATCCACTCCGCTCGGATAGTGATGAGAAATAGAGAAGCAGGAGTTGCATGCAGTGCTGGACCTGGAGAACGCCTTCGATAAGGTGCCACATGACACATGGTGCCAGAAGAGTGCTCTCAATGGATAGTTGATCCACCACAATGCATCAAGTAGTCTCGTGCAAACAGCTGTAGGATAATCGAAAGGATTCCAAATCAAAGTTGGAGTGCATTAAGGTTCAGAACTTTCTCCCTTGTTCTTCATGACTGTGAGAACGTCGTGATGCAACCGCTCAGACGTGAATCTTCTTGGACACTTCTCTACAGATGATGTGGTCTTGAGAGCGCGAACTAGAATGGAGCTTCAAGACAAGCTATAAAGCTGGAAAAACAGGCTAGTGTTGTATGGCCTGAAGTTCAACACCAGGAAGACAGTATGTATGGTTGTGGGGAACAACTCTTGGTACCATAAGCATCGATGGTAAAAAGCTAAAGAAGACACGTCCTTCAAGTAACTAAGCAGTCACATCTCAGCGGAGGGAGACTTACAAGGGGAGGCGCAGGCAGGATGAACACAGCATGGAAGAAATGAATAGCCTTAACAGGAGTTCTGTGCGATAGAAGAATGCCAGCAAGTTAATTCCGAACTGTGTCGGACCGTTATCCGCCCAGCAGCACTGTATGGCAGTGAGTGTGGTGACCATGCACGCGGAACGAGGAGCGCAAGCTCAGTTCATGGAATGGCTACGATGGACCTTAGGAGTTACACAGAATCACATCTGCAATGACACTATACGTGCGCAAATAAAAGTAGCTCCAGTTGCCCAGAAAATGAAGGAAAAGAGGTTACGATGTTATGGGCATGTGTGCAGAAGGGAGTCACGTCATAAAGTTGGACCTGGCTGTGGAGATACCAGGCAAAAGGCCCAAAGGTAGACCCAAGATGAGGTGGATGGACAGAATCAAGCCCGACCTGGGAGAACTTGGTATAGACGAAGATTTTGCCTCAGAGTGGATGACATGGAAACATCTGAGAAGAAGAGCAGACCTTGCATAAGCGGCATACGAGGATAAAAAATGAGTCGTACATTTGTGACTATATGTGCAACATACAAGGAATCTGTTGGACACATTTTTCAGTTTACTTCCAATTTACTAGACGTTAAACGAGAGTCGTCAGATTGCATTGCTTTAAGGTGGAGGTAGTTCGAAAAATTTTGGTAACAAAAGGCTACTAAAAAGCACTCACTTGAGCGTTGTTCCAAGTTCAGCCGTCACTACCCCACCAGTGCTGTCACAATCAATAGCCAATGGATAGCTGATGAATGTATTTTCCGTAGAGTAAAGATTTGGCTGAAATTGAGATGACTGTCCCTCAGCCAAAAATTCGGTGAACGGGAAAACATCGCATTATACTTGAGCTATGGGGAGATTTTTTTACACAAGCTCTAGTAAGACGCCTTACAACAAGATTTATTCACGGACTTTGACAGGAACCTTCTTGAATTTCAAAGACTTCATGTTTAATCCGTACATGGTGAAAGTAGGAGGAGGAGCGGTGACGGGTATCATCGATGGCCTAGATATACGGCTTTCAGCATTGACTCCATAACTCTGTGACAGCGTACCCGTAGAGCCACCGCAACAGCTTTATATATAGAAACAATGTAACTCCACGATCAATACGTCGTAACCATAGCACGATTCTCAATACCAATGTAATAGTTTTACTGAAGAAAGTAGATTTTATGTTGCGAGCTGTGTTCGTGGTTGACTTACATGATGTACAACAGAGCGCTGAGGTAGAACCGCCATTGCCAAGTACTCAGCTGAGCAAAGTCGGAGCTAATGATTGTCATCCAGATGTTCTCATCGCGGTGGCAAAGCTGGCGAACATGCCGTACACAAAGAAGACGTGCAAACCTAGGCTTGTGTATCCAGAGCAAATTTCTCATTCAATCTTTTTTTGTTTGTAAGGTAATCTGCGAGGATTTTCGGAACGGCAATAGCATGGACGAGCAGAATGGGGAGCATTGATGGGGTCGTTGCCGCCTAGTCCCCTGCTCTCTTTGTTGTTCCGGAGCGATTTTCTCGCTTCGACGCTACATTTTGCGCCTGCACTTAGGCATCGGGTTGGAAGGGGCCTAATATCGTATGCTGCCAAAAGCTCAAAATTCCTAATTTAGGGTAGACGATGTCTTCAACATGTGTGATCAGCGGGGCATCTCTTATAGTATACTAGCTGGCAACGGCTCGGCCTTGATCTATCAGCATTATTTTCTCAGCTACAGTTACCAACTTGTGCCATTCCCACCTCGTAGGTGAAACTTTGTAAAAAATCGATAAAATCGACGTTGATCAATGCCAAAGATTAGTCGACACCCTCCCCGAAGATGTATGTACCAGGTTTGGTCCGGATCGTTCAGAAGTGGTATTTCTCTTGGGAACATATGTACACACAGAACATACGTCAGACAAAACCATTTAGTTTTATACATAAGAATTGTAAAGACGCAGGGCTTCTGTGGTCTTTCTATTCTTGTGCTTAGCTGTTTTCTAGTCCTTTTTAGTCGATTTGCATGCGTTTATTTGGTGTAATGGTTTTGCTATGTTTTGGTTGATTCGTGTCGGGACCACGCGATCGGGTGGCATGCACATCTTCTCTGCCGCTATATAAGGCAGCTCTGCTTGGCTCAAATCAGTCTCAATGTCGGTGCTATCGGTGCTACGAGGAGTGCGGTCGATCTCAATTGAGAAGCCAAGCCGAAGAGACATGGACGCGCCGTTCGCCTGGAGGATCGTTCTTCGATAAAGGAATTGCATCATACCCCTGGACACCACGCCAAACCCCCCGCAATAACGCCTGTCCTTCTATGTCAGGACAACTACTGCCTGACAAGAAGAGAGAGCAAGTATCTTCTTCTTGACAGAATACTACTCCATCAGATGACGTCACAGTGCATCGTCTGTCTGGCCCTATATCCTGTACTGTTGGTATATTCGATGGAGTCCTCATAACGTACTCCGCTTGATTATGATAGCTGCATAACGTAAAGAACGTAAAGAAGCAACAAAAACCTGTTGATGATTTGTGTATCATCAATTGATGAACTAGATTCTATACCGCCTACGGAAACCTCGTAGGCTGAATTGTGAGCTATCCACTACTGAATATATAATTTCTCAAAGGCGAGTGGTACATGTGTCCCAGAGTGTAGCTAATCGGCGGCATGCCCTTTCAAGCACTAACACGTGTATATTGCGCCTTGTACTCGGTTCAGATTCGCCTTTTTTGATATATAGGATGACTCCGAATTTATTAGGGGTTCCCCCCCCCCCCGTTCACACCTGGATAATTCTATCTTCTTCACTAATCTTAGCCCGTGCAAGTAAATTTACATTACATAGCTCGTATACGCTCCAATCACTTGGCGCCCTCCAAAAAAGCCATCCGTGGACTTCACTTTGCCTTTTCTGTCATAAACCATTCTTCTATACTCGCCATGCGAACAGCATCCAACCCTCCCTGAGACTGCTCGATGTTATAAGAACGTCGTTTAGGCCGAGAACCCCTACACTGTTATATCTCAGAAGGCGCATAGCTTCTTCAAAGCGACTGTTAATTAGTTGTTTACCAGTGCGTCACCTCTGCTTCGCAGAGGCTCGCACTGGCTCTACTATCTATGTGCCTTACTCATTCTCGTAGAATCGTGGCACTGGAACTCACCGCGCTATGCCGACTACCACGAATAAAATGTAAACAACCACTCATTTAGAAAGTTTTTTCACGTGAGATCGGTGATTTCGCGTGGATGAAACTTTTCGCAAGAAGACAAACGCAAATTTGAATAGGTTTTTGGATTTGTCATGGCTTGGTAGTCGCCATAGAGGTAATAGTAGCCGTGAGCTACATTTCTGTGAGAAAATCTTCTCAAGCGCTTAGCTAGAACCTTGGCAAATTGCCCATTTACACAACCAATTCTTTTGGCGCCGTTTTTCGTTATGCAGTAAACTTTCGACCACTTTTCGGGCTAAACTCCATCGCTTGCACAGTTGCCTACCAAACTCGTCCACGACTCTGCAAAAAGTGGTGATACGGACCGAATTTTGCGGTATAGAAGCCAGGTCGACCCGTTTGGCGCGCAATTTCTGAGGATCCACTCAACAAATCTGCTCGTGCTTTTGCATGTTGGATTTTCTTGCGGCTAGCATGCGCTGTGCGAAATTTGGGCCCAGGAGGTTGGCTGGAGCACGCTCTACGAATTTCGTAACAGACACACTCTCACACAGACAGACACACAAAGTCACGTAAACATCCTTAGCCCGTTATTATAAGTTATGATGATTTGGTCCCATACTTCACTTTGACGATGTTTTCGTGAGATAGGATCTGATTGTAAACCCGTTGCCGTCTTGAAACTGATCTTGATGTACTACATATATGGAAACACTAGCTGTTATTTTTGGTGACAGCTCCGATCTCAAAAAGTCAAAGGTTTCCTACATAAATGAGATAAAGGAGGCATCTGTACCCCTGTACCCCAAAACCCTTTAGGGCCTCTATACGGTGATTAAGTCTGTAATACTGACTGCATTCTGTAACGACGTTCATGAAAACTGCACACTTCTCGTGTATCAGACTTACAATGATCATTTTCTGTGTGATTGCAGACATGACTTACAAGACGGAAGCATTATCTACAGGAAGCATTTCACAACGAATCATTTTTCCAAGATTTGCAAAGCAAGCCCTCCCTATATAGGAAGTTTCCAGTAGGTCATGTTGAACACTGGAAGAAAATTTTTTAATGACATCACTGTCTTGCAGACAGACATAATATTGCAAGACAAGTATGAGAAGCTGCTGCAGCATTGAATGCAGAAGTTGATCAACGCACCTTTTCATCATAAAAATTAGCCCATTCTTCTCTGCAAATATACCTGGGGCGAAAATCCGCAGATCAGGATAGAACTGCTGCAGAAAACGCTCAAACCGTTGAACCTGAAGACTTGGCTTTAAGTATCATACTTTCGCATGTCTCCTCTACAAACCATGTTTGTAATGTCTTTATTGGGTAGAAAAGAAGCTTTGTAAGGATCAGCCGCTATTAAAAGTGCTACCACCTGTCTCTCACTCTCCTCTGGGCCACTATATCCCGTGACCAATATGTATCCGTCACTCAGTAGGCCTGTTCCTCAAAATTATCTTTTTTCACTAGATGTTGTGCTGCGAGCTTCAATTTTGACCTACCTATGGTCAAGCTGGAGCTCAGCGCTGGTAAAGTTGTAGTTCTTTTCATTGTTAGTATGGCTCTTTCCGTTTCGTCATTCAATGTTAGTACGTACTGTGAGAGCTGATAGTTCTCCGGATTGTAAGTAACTAGTACAGCTGAATATTATAGCTCCAGCGCGGCGTTTCCGCTTTATGGGAAAACTACCTATGTTATCGTTTAGTAGGTACATGTCGTTGGATTGTCGAAGTTCAGCACCAGAAATGTCGTAATCGATGACATAGTCTGTGCTCTGCAAGTACGCATTTGAGATTTAAAAAATGACATTCCCTACGCAATACTTCACGTCAATGCGTCACGCTATCGTAAGGATGTTATATGAATCGCCTAACGGAGGCGCGTGGCGGCAGTCACGCACCCGAAAAAATTTTTTTACAAAGCTGAATAAAGAATCCTTAAAAAAAATTCAATAATTTAATTTCATCATTTGGAAGTATTAGGTTGGTTCAAAAATAATGGCCGTTTTGCGAATTCTCACTTTGACGTGCTGTAACTTTTTGACAAATCCAAGATGTCAATTTGACAATACTACTAAATACAATAGCCAAATTTCTGAATGCGATAAAGACCGCCAGAGCAGCAAACTTTTGCAATACAACGCACACTTTGTACTCTCATCACAAAGGGCAGAAAAATACGGATGAAAAACAGAAAGGTTTTTTTTCGAAGACCTTGTTATTGACTATTCATGACTTCCTTTAAAGTTTGTTAGCAAGTATGGTAAGTAGCCTGTGTTCTAGCCGCAAGCAATAGTACAAAATACGATGAAAAGTTTTGGAAAATATTTTCGGGAAAAAAAATCATTCGAAATTGTTGGTTTTCCAACGTTTTTTCAGTATGCCTCAGAATCTGGAATGTAGAATTTCCTGATTTTTTCGCGTACTGAACAGCTGGATGTTCTCGCAAAAACTACTAATAGGAGACACTCTTACGCTAGTGCATCCTATTAGTTGTATCCTATTAGTTTAGCTTACGCTTACAGAACTGAGCAAGGAATTTATGGGTAAAATGACTGCAAGGGCTATCCATGTCGAGGCGTCGATATCTCCGTCGGGATAACTTTGGAAAATACAGTAGTATGCATAATATAGACAAATTCTATTCGAAGAAGCGACATTCATACGCGCTTGAATTCTGGCCAGAAATGTGAATGCATTAAGTTTCTGAGTTTGGATGCGGTTATTTGAAGCTTATTAACTTCATCACAGATGAGGATGGAAGCCCGCTTTAGGCCCCGGGCAGACTTCACGCGATTTGATCGTCGCGACTGAATCGCGACGAGGCAACTGTTACAACATCATTCCATGCCGATCAACTTGCATTCGGTTGTGATACTTTTCCAGCCCGAATTTCATGAATGTGAAATGAAAACGAATGGAAAAGTCGGCAATTCAGTCGCGACGATCAAATCGCGTGAAGTCTGTCCGGGGCCCTAACCACCATAAGGAAAGAAATTTTCAATGTGTATATTGCCGTCTTGGATTAAGTTAGTTTCACGCACCTTCCCAGTGTGTATAGAACAACGACAAAGTAATCGACTGCCGACTATGATTACAACCTCCTGCGTATCTGGATCCAGCGCCAGTTTCATGTCGATCTTCACCGAGTAGATCATCTATCGGGGAGGATGAAGCATTAGTCAAGATCTATCCACATGGGAGACTTACATTGCCGCTTGGATTCACGGCAAACAACTGTGGCGAGATGAAGGCTTCAGGCGCATCAAACTCAAAAAACATCTGGCCGCCGTGGACCTCTGACGACGCTGTTGTGGAACGGGGACGCGGAGTTGACGGGGCTGAACTGAACCCCGTGATGTCAGTGGTGGACATCTGCGAAAGCGCAACCACGCAGAAATCGAAGAGTTAGTAAATGAACCATTGAATGAGCCATGAACCCTAAAAGCCATACAAACAGGACAAGAGGAAATTTGTCAATAATCAGAACCTTGATAAACAAGTGCGAAGAAACGGTTCATTTCTGGGACGATGGAGAATTTCAGCTATCCCGTTTCAAGAATCGGTTGTGACGACAAGATCATGCAGACTCGACGTCAATTAGATGAGGTTCGCGCTGTTTCTTACATTCATAACAGTGTACACAGATTCATCATCAAGACGCTAAGATCGAGATCGAGTTCCGACCCTTTATAGTTGCAGAAGTTTTTACTACGTAAAAGATAGATTGTTGCCCCTGAATCTCTCGTGTATAAGAAAGGAAGGATGGTTTACCTTCCTGCGTATCAATTGTACGAAAGGGCGAGAACAAGCAGATATGGCAGCAGATATGGCAGTAGTAAATAAAGCTGAATTGACGGTCAAAAATCCGCAGTTGATATCTTATATAGTTAACTGCAAGGAATCGCCCGGAATGAGCACCCGCGCGCGTGTCTCTTGCGAGCTAACGTTGGCATTCGCGCGCATGAGTCATCATAGCGCCCGTACTCGGCAGCCGCGATGCAAGCACTCTCGCGTGCGTTCGGCATACAACAACCCGGGCGATTTCGTGCAGGCGACTTTAACCTACAGGAAGTACGGTAGCATTGTACTCGCAGCACATGCTCTTGACTGTTGCTTTTGATTGAGCTCGCAACTTCGCTACGTCACCTCTCTTGAAAAAAGCACACGGAATGAATTCAAGATCATTTCTTGATGATCATTCTTGCAGCGTCTCGCGGTGCAAGAGGCTACTCGAAGTACGGAGGCGAGAAAGTTGAATCGCTTTTCGAAGACGATTACAGTGGCCAAGACGCATGCCATCGCCCCGTTGCCATACCAGCGGCTATAAACAGTTGCAGAGCCTCAATTCGGCGACTTGTTCTTATGTCGTCATTAAAGGCAGCGTCCAGGCAAGTCTGGACACATGGGGCGCTCACGTGGATAGTAATCTTGGGGACCTAACTAAGCCGCTGCCCAGGGGGCAGCTCAGGTAGTTCTCTAACGGTTGAGATATTCTCCTTAAACCTGGACCCCGCGGTCGTATTTCGCATGGATTCATGGCGCAAAGCGTGTGTCCTGGCGCGAAACTGCCATGAATCCATGCGAATAGGATCGCGGGGTCCAGTTTGGAGGGAACTATCTCAACCGTTAGAGCACTACATGAGCTGCCCCTTGGGCAGTGGCTTACTTAGGGCCCCAAAAGTACCTTCCACGTAAAATCCCCATAGGTCCAGATCTGCACGCTGCCTTTAACTGTGTCGTAGTGTTCGGAATGGATACTTTTGGATATGCTGCTGCTTAACATGATCACTGGATCAAATGGAAGCAAACTCTTTTCGATCAACTAATTTTGATTGGATTTAATGGGGAGTTCGATTCGCACGACATAATCTAGTCGGAGAGGGAGTTTCAGTGAAAGCTGTGAAGCAGGGAGCGAGCGGCAGCCTTATGACTTGGCGACCCTTAGTTAAAATTATGGTGACTAGCTGAATACTATGAGATTACGATACTTGCGCATCGCTAGCACTGGACCAGCACCCTGAACCGTTTGAGCTCACTTCTGTGTAGTTGTAGCGATAATACATGGTAGTGTTTCTTCCTTGACTGCAGTTGTTGTTATTGGAATAGGTAACAATAACTGTCGCGTCTCGCGATGCAAGCGCTCCTTGAAACACGGAGACCGGGAGCATCGGCTATTCTGCGACGATTACGTGTGTGCAGTACCTGCGGACTTCACCTGTGCGGGCTCGTTATCAGCTCGGCGCGATAGATAGCAGAGGCGCCTCAGTTTGGTGCCTTGTTCGGATTGTAGTCCACATCATTTCAGTGTTTCATTCGAGATTATTTTAGCCGCGTAGTACGCTCCTACCTTCTATAAAATAGCAATTGTGCCAAATTCCGTTTAAATTGGAAAGTATATTTTGGAATGGGCTAATATTCGAGCCGCTATGGTAAAGATGTATCAAACTTGAATCTAAACTTGAATTGTGCGATCAGGGAAGTAGAATAGGCAGATACGCGATATTTCTGCGCCTTGGCGTTGCGCGGTGGTTCCCTGTGTGACACCCCGAGTATCATAGACTTCGAGATCAAGATCGTCGCTCATTAATAGCACGGGAGCTGCCATGAGTCCACCGAGCCTCAGTATGTTATATTCGGTCGCTCATTGGACCATATGCTGGATTGCGTCGTTTACAATTGGCAAGCATAAGCCTCAGTATAACACCTAGATGGTGAGCCCATCGAGTCTTCACACCTTCCCTAATCCAAGTGAACAAATAGTGAGCACTTCCAACCTTCGAAGGACGGTAGAAGTTCTTTGGTCTTATTTTTGTACCTATCTAGATACACTCATGCGAAGCCTTAGGCTGGATTCATACTGATTTCTATGTTCCGGAATTGTCCCGCACAGTTCCCGCACTGTGCTGAAACTGTTCCGGAACTGTGCTGCATATGCCGCAACTGCTCTGCACGCGTTTTGAACGGCGGGAGTTGGAGAATTTTAACGTTTTCGACGGTTTTTCTTCCAAATTCCCATCTTTTGGTCTTGTTCCTGTACCCCGCTTCCCTTTTTGATCAGCATAACTTCAAACTCGAAGCGTGGTTGAAGAATGAGCGCTTTTCTGCTCTGCATATTCGACAAGATGTCTGTTCTTGCTCTCTCCATTCTCGCTTCGTTTTCTTAGTGCAGAAAGCGTGTGCGCCGTGGAAGCAGCTTTATGATCAACACAAAACATCAAATAACAGAAATAACTTTATTATGCAGTTTGACACATGGCAACCTTGCAGAGAGATAACAAGCGGGATTGCAGACCATAGCGACGGGTAGGATGCCAACGTCAGGAGACGAGGAGCTGGTCTTGGGATCGTCGTGCAATGACTTAAAGTTCTCCTTGTGCGACTTGTTATATATCCTTGCACTATCAGAGCTCGACATCTCCGAGGGCATGGGGATCAAGGTTCTCATAACATGGACGATGGTATCCTATAATATCCCAATACCGTGAGATTGCCATGACTTTCTAGCACAAAGAATGCTGCTCTTACAGTGCTCAAACCTATTCAATTTGTTCCAGGAAGCCGCTGCGTAGTTTACGCAAGCATCTGTCTTGAATTGGACATGCGAACATTCTGGAAATGCGAAAATGGGAACTTTGATCTTGTTTTCTGATGAGTTTCGTTTTTGGGCATTTTCAACCCCTTTCCTTTTTCCATATCGCTGCTTCTCCGTTTTTTCTTCTACGCCGCTTCTCCTATTGATGAGAAAAACTGCGTTGAAGCGGGGACGAAGAATCAATCTTGTTCTGCTCCATGTATCTGAGCAGATGGGTCTTCGTGCGCTCGTCCATTTTCTCTTCCATTTTTGCTCAGACCTGCTTTATGTGTTCAAGAGACCCGTCTGTGTCCCTATAAATACTGGGGTGCGAGATTACGCAGCGCCTTCCTGCAACAAATGGAGCAGTTCTGGGCAAGAATAGCGAAGAGAGAATGGAAGACGAGCACACGACGGCCCATATTTCCGGATACATGGAGCAGAACAGCGTTCACTCCTCAACCTCGCTTCAAGTTCGCAGCTTTTTCCATCTCAAGGTGAAATGGAGTAGAAGAAAGAACGGAGAAGCAACGATATGGAAGAAGGAAAAAGGCTGAAAATGCCCAAAGCGAAACTCATTAGAAAACAAGAGCAAAGTTCCCATTTCTGCATTTTAACACGTTGACGACAGTGTCGCGCAATGGTGCGCGACAGGCAGTCTGTCCCTGTGGACGATGTCGCGCAATGGTGCGCGACACCCTAAACACCGCTTCTAGCACAATGGTTCCAATTTGTGTACACATAATCAATTTGGGCTCAGAAGTTTTTCATGTTGGCCCGGCCCTCTTTTGGCAAACTCCGCCCACTCCATTACCCTCTACAAAAAACTTTTTTCGTCCTCAGATCGCATAGAAAAGCTCGTAGATGACTGGGGAACCATACATTATCTTAATTTTGACCCAGCTCCCCATTGTGCAGGCTCCACCCTGAGTGGCAAGCTCCTCCCTCTTTTCAAAAATGCCGGGATTTGCACAAATTCATTGATTTTGAGCAATTTCCAGCACTTTTGAAGAGTGGGCGGGGCTTGCCAAAAGTGGGCGGAGCTACCCCGTCCACCTGCATTTTTGTACCTCACGCATAGATGCATGCATACATATCATCTATGACAGCATTACGGACATTGTCTTAACATGTTTGAGTTTGTTCTTCCCTGTTTTTAAAGAGTGAGTAAACGTGGGCGAGACATAAATGACAAGTATAAACCTGCTATGCGCACGATTAAGCTTGACAATGTATGCAAAGCGGTCTCGCGTCTCCTAGTCCTAGAATGAATGATACACGCAGCCGGCCGTGAAAACGCCCGGAAACGTTCGTCTACAGACGGTACAGACGTCGAAAAGACAGCTCGTCGTCAACGTGTTAAGAATGTTCGCATGCCCTAATTCGAGACAGATGCCTACGGAAACTACGCAGCGGCTTCCTGAAACAAATGGAATAGGTTTGAGCAAAAAGAAAACGAAGCGAGAATGGACGAGCGCAAGAATAGACATTTTGTCGGATATGCAGAGCAGAAAAGACTCATTCTTCTACGCCCCCCCCCCCCCCCCCGCTTTGAGTTCGAAGTTCTGCTGATCGAAAAGGGAAGCGGTTAGAGGAATAAGACCAAAAGAGTGGAATCTGGAAGAAAATTTATTGAAAACGGTCAAAATTCCCCAACTCTCGCCGTTCAAAACGGGTGCGAGGCAGTTGCAGCGCATGCAGCACAGTTCCGGAACAATTCCAGCACAGTGCGGGAACAGTCCCAGAACATGGGAACAAGTATGAACCCAGCCTCAGGCTACAGAAACTGCAAAACGGAAGCAGCGTAAAGCCCGTAACTCACAACTATGCGCCATTTCTTTAAAGATAGTGGCTCAGCAAATCTTAACCTAGCCAAACTCTCCTCACCTGGGGTTATCCATTGCGCTGATCTCGAAGATCTATTTTAGAGAGCTTCAAAATGGCGAAAACGAGCGTTTTCCAATGCCCTTCTTTTCCAAATTGGACGAGTGCGGAGGCTGAAGACGCTGAATCGTTCCAGGAGACCCAATGGTTGAGCACTGCGGCCGGGCAACCTCCAATGGTGAAAGGGGGATTGCGAACTCGTCCGAGCTCGTGTAAGGTTGGCTTGCGCGTGTAAGTTTGAGAGCAATTTTCTCGGCAGGGAAAGCGTGCTTTGCGACCGGATTGCACTGTTTTCATACTTGGATGATAAGCAACCTACCGCGTGAAAATCCTGGGTTGTTAAGTTTTGCCGATCCACTGCCTTTAATGGGTTGAGTTACGTACCGGCCCCGATCCCCACCTCCCTGTTTTTCCGCCGAGGACGTTGTGCTCGGGGAGGTTTTTGATGTACAAGAAGTTCGATTTGTCGCCTAACGCCTCCACATCTCCTCCGAAGGAGGAATATCGCGAGCTTGTCTGAGTGCGCATAAGAATGGCTTGTGCGCACGGGTTCGAAGGCAATTATCACGGCAGGGTGAGGATGGGCGCTCTCGGACTTGCTCTGTTCCCATACTTGCGAGAAAAGCAACCCAATAAAAACTTTAATGTTCAGTTTTACCAAGCCTCTGCTTCAATAACATCTTCGGACTCACTAAGATACGATTTCAATAACTCAGTTACTGATAACAATCCACTGCAGACATTATAGCAGACGGATCTTTGGAATTAAAGTACATACTGATAGCAGACGGAAAGCGATTGCAGCGATTGCAAAGCGCAGTAGACATTTCGTGGAAAAGATGTGTTGCAGATTAACAATGACGCAAAATATTACTACAGTGCTAGCCATAGCTATAAAGCCACCCTAAAAATCACCGTAATTTGCTCTCTCTTGCTCATAATTGTCTGAGAAACCACTATTTTTTGCGCAAACTAACGTCATACCATTGACCAAAACGGCTCCCAGTTTTATGTTTGGCCGGAGAAAACTCTAGAAATTTGAAAAAACGGGTTCCGAAGGCTGGTCACAGCTATAAAGCCACCTCTCATTTTCAATCAGTACTACGTTTTTTGAATCTCAAATTTTTTGTACATATACAACATCAAAATATGAAACATTTTTACACTTGAAAGGAGTCGCCTTTCAAAAAGAAGATTCGTACTGCATTTTTTGCTCTAAATTGCATAATAACTCAATTATTTGCAAAAAACTGTTTTTCACTAAATTTTGAAACACCTGTTTGACTCGGATGAACGTCCTAGGATTTGCTTAGCCTTTGCAATGAACGAGGTGAAAAGTGCTGAACTCAACATTGCGTAGTCGCTAATCTTGGTAAACGAGCCTCATCTTAACGAGGTGTAAGCGCGCTTCTGAGGCGCAAAACTAGATTTCTGACACGCGAAAACTTTTGGTTGGAAGTTGACACCTTGTCTGCATGGCGACGTACTCATGCAGAAGCCGCCAGGTTTTCTTACAAAGGCCTATTTGCCGCGATGAAGTTAAAACGCTTTGTCTGTAGTTCGGTTGTGCGCAGTGTATCTCACAAGACTTCAAATTTCACTGCTTTGAACTCCTCATCAATTCAAATCTTACTAAACTTTCAGGAATAGAAGGATTTTGAACTTCTGAGCGGTTTTCCGCTCGATCGAAGCGGTTAGAGTGGATCATGATCAGACGGAGTGCACCACTCATTTTTGGAAAAAAGGTGTCCAAAGGGGAACCAGAATCCTCGGAGTTGCGATGACGTACAGGCTATGCACACGAGTCTGTCGTTATACAAGCGACGTGCTGAGCACGCGACAGAGCTTTTCGGGCATTAGAATTCAATTTCTGCGGTTCGAAAACTCGTCTACCTGGAGGTGAGGTTGGGGCTCGTTTATCAATATCAGCGACTACGCAATACTAACTCAAGCGCTTTTCGCCATATTCATTGCAAAGGCTCGGCAAAACATAGGGCTTTCATCCGAGTCAAACAAGTGCTTTAAAATTCAGTGAAAAAGCAGTTTTTTGCAAATGATGTGACTTATTATGCATTTTAGAGCAAAAAAGGCAGTACGAATCTTCTTTTTGAAAGGCGACTCCTTCCAAGTGTAACAAATGTTTCATATTTTGATGTTGTATATGTACAAAAAATTTGAGGCTCACAAAACGCAGTACTGATTGAAAATGAGAGGTGGCTTTATAGCTGTGACCAGCCTTCGAAACCCGTTTTTTCAATTTTTCAATTTTTCTCCGGCCAAAATCCATGAAATCAGGAGCCGTTCTGGTCAATGGTATGACATTAGTTTGCGCACAGAATAGTGGTTTTTCAGACAATTATGAGCAAGAGAGAGCAAATTACGGTGATTTTTAGGGTGGCTTTATAGCTATGGCCAGCACTGTATCAAAAGAGAACAAACCATCCAATTTTCGTGAAAATTTCAAACCGACACTGCCAGGACTTGAAAAATTTTGGTCCTTCTTGTCTAGCAATTAGAACATGAGCGCAAATACACAGGGGTTTACGAAATTCACCATCTAACATAGCACTGCTGACAGAGGAAAGCAGCAAAAGCATCATAGCTAAGTCTACTAATTTTTCAGGTTATGGACATGATGCGATCAAATATTGAAAAATTGTCGGAAAGAAGTGAAAGGCTTGAAGATCTTGCTAGCCGTGCACGTCTGCGCATATATTTTTACCTTCATCGAATATATCTTATTAACCGAGTATTTCACAGAAGTCCTGGATATGTCGTCACAAGAATTTCAACGTTGTGCCGGTGAAGTACGCCGTAAGAAGATGTGGAAGGCCTATGCAACAAAAATAGTAGCTATGGCGATCGTTGGCATCACTGTTATTTCTACCATTGGTATGCGAATAACTTGCTACTATTTATTGGAAAAAATATTTTGATTTAAGGCTACTTCGCCATTTGAATCCGCACATTATGTCCTCTGCTCTAATTCTATGTCTATGTATGTTCGCTATGAACGAGCACGACATATGCGGTACAACAGTACTACTGACATTTGTATCATTTTCGATTCAATAAATCGCTTTCTCTAGAAAAACCGGAGCTATTGATTTGTCAACAGATACTTGAGTGAATGGCATCTTTACCCGTGCCAGCGCCGTCGGATCAATACGGGGCGCTTCCAGCTAAGACTTGGCACTGCGACAGCACGGTGCTGGCAATCGTGCTGTCGAGTGGACGTGAGTGGACGCAGCGGAGTTGGGATGTCTACTGCTTTGTCAACACGCACATCACACATGGAACAATAAGAAGTTTTATTTTTACAAATAAAAATCTCCAATAGAAACTGGTAACAAGGAAGAATCAAGTTGAAGAGGAGGAGGATGGATATAGCATTTGTAAAGTGAGGATCGCATGCAGCCAGAGGTTCGTGATAGCGACGTTTGCCTCATCTCGAAAGTGTTGTTTGTACGGAAGAGAGCTAGGTGACAAAAAGATGACAGAGTCATACGTCTCACCATCAGCTTGCTGCTGGGAAAAGGCAATGAGACGTAGAAACTTGCACTACAGGTAAGAAGATAGAACTTCGATCACGAGAGGGGATTCATTTGAAAAAACATAGAGCAACGAAAAATCACAGGAGAAGATCTTACTGTGAACCGTAGGGAGAGACTACATACAAATTGGGACTGAAAAGAAGAAGAAGGGAAAACCGAGCTTTGCTAAAAACGCGCAGTTCAACAGGGTGAGGACATGTTCATGCCATTCGTCTAGTGTCGGGCAGGTGATGGGGAATAGAATGAAGCCGAATAAGCTGCCTTATTCAAAATCACAATGAGAGAGAAGGAAAAAAACCCAAGGGGACGAAACCCAACTACAAACAGACGTCTCGCTTACCCTCGCCCTAAACTAATACCTGAAACGCTTGAGTCACCTAACATCCTACAACCGTACATCTCATATTTTCCAAAAACGGAAAAGAGACATCCCGCGGCTCTCCCACACCAAGCAAGTGGTGCCCATCACTTACACTTAGGAATCGCTAGTGGAATACAATTAGAAAACTAAACTAAGATACAGCTAAACTAAAGGCGAGAACGAAAAACACCCCAACACCGTGAATACTGCTCCAAAGGACTAATAGAGTCAGAAACGAAAATGACCAGTTGATGAGAAGAAAATACTAAGATGCGTTATGAGAGCGAAGAAAAAAACAAATCACTAGTTAGAGATGAGATGAACGGCCAGCACTGGATGATGATAGCACACTGGAGATGATGACGATGTTCCGGGGAGAACACGATTTCGAGATGACAACGCGATGAGAAAGATTGGAGATAACAAAGGACGAGAACGAGGTATTGTACAACGGAACCCATGACAGCAAGACCTGCAACAAGAAAGTAAATTTAAGGGAAAAAATGCAAACTTATCACCAAATAGATAGCTGAAGACTTAAGGCTTCAGCACACTTTCATATTACTCTACTTGTTAGATAACAAACAAAGGAACATAAATAAAGAAACATGTAAACAAAAAAGTGATAAGCAGTGGTAAAAAAGAATCATGTAACGCACTTGCCCCGGCTTCACTCGAAATCCTTGTCTTCAAGATACCGATATTCAAATGTGAACGATTCTTTTTTTCGTTGCGACCACTTCTCATAATCGAAGTACACGTAAGTGCCCTAGATGTCCAATTTTAACATTATCTGTGAATTGAACTACCATTCCATACCTGTTCAAAATCGTCCGTTATTTGCTTCGGTTCTTCATGCCGTTGAAACCACGTGAGATACTTTGTGTGAAAGCGCCATGACAGCTTTTTCAACGCTTTTGCTGCTAATAATTGCGCTCTCGTGCCCTTCAATCAACGTCATTCAATATGGACAGTAACACCAAACATGTAGAATCAGTCACGAACCTCCATATAGTAAAAAATGAAAAATAGCGTTTCTGGGCTGAGCCTCAAGTAGTACTCAAGAGTGTCAACGTTTTGCGCCGATACCTGAAAAATGTACTTGGACAAGTGGATCTGGTAGTTAAACTGATAGACTCAATGAAAATTGCTTAAGAAATAATTGGCAAACATGAAAATTGCTATGATTTGCGCCAGAAGTGCATTGCATGACATTCCTTTTTAAGGCGCTAGCTCTTACATTTTGGTTTGACAAAATGCATAAGGTAGCGACAGTTTGAAAAGACAGGTTACATAAAGATATGCACAACATCAAAGCACTAACAATAAGAAAAAGGCAAAAGTCAGCAAGTTGACCAAGTAAACCATGCAAACTGCGGAAACCAATCAAGATGTACTAACAGCAAATACCTGTGGGTAGTACGACGCGCACGGACATGGTATCTTCGGCAAGTATGTTCGCGGCCGTTCACTGTCCATGGGTAAAGGAGTTCGTGCAAGTGAAGCTTCTAATGCGGCTAATTGCATTTCCATCTCGCTCGTAGTTTGTATGCGGCCTAAGGGTGAAGCACCAAGCCATGCAGGAATGTGAGCCTGAAGTTTTTAGATCATATAAGAAAAGGTACCAATTTTTTTAAACACTTACTCGTTGCGGTTCCGTGTTCTGTGGCTGCTGATTTTGCTGTGACAAACGTAGTACCCGTAGAGGATCATCCGCAGCGTCAAGTCCAACTGAGATTGAGAAAAAAAAACATAGAAGAGATTTGAATAATTCAACTTCTATTGGACCTACCGTCTCCAGAACGACGAGAACCGCCAGATTCGCCTATTCTCTGCGCTCCTTCCACGACGTCTGCCATTGCAGCAGACGTCGTGCTTCCGTCCGCACTCAAAGCTGCTGATGCCTTAAATCATTCAAATACAAACACATAAAGATAACAGATGAAAGTACTGACGAAAAAAAAATAGGAAGATAATCGCTAATTGATGATCCGTATATCAACGTGCAGATGCAAACAGCTGCGTAAAACAGAAAAAGCAGTTGCCCTCGGGAATTATTTGCAACATAAGAATACTAAACTTTGTGTTGCAGAGTCAATTATCTGTCCAAGCAACGTCATATTTTCAGACCAATTAAATGATCTTAACTGCCAGATCCCCTAATAAAAAGGGGAGGTACTTGGTCGAAGTGTTTAGGTTTTATTCAGCGCTTAGTAAATCAATTAATACCCAGACCAACGACTCGAGATAAACCTCTTAACTAATCGAGCTATTATGATGTAAGAATTATTTACAAGTGGCTTCGACGAGCAAAATTACGCACAATCAAAATTAACAGAAAAACGAGTGCCTTAACATTAAATGTGCAGCACTCGATAATCTGCATCTGCAACTCGCCTTCCGTAATAATTCTCGATAATGAGAGACTTGAAACTCGAACGATTGAAATTTGATGCGATACCGAGATTCTCACCTTTTTAATGGTCTCAATAAACCTTGCTTTGCTACTGAAGAGGCGAAAGTGACGTAGCAGGAAAAAAATCAGCGCACAGCGAACATGAGCACTATGCTGCTCCGCGGCTGCCTACTAGACGACAGAAAAGCAATATGAATTGTTATCACGACTGCGTTCGAGTGTTATCACCAACTCGATACTGCATTTTGTTGACACGAATTCATGACGTCAAAAGAAGAAAAAGTGGAACTATGACAAATCGATAAGTTTGTGTATATAAGTAGACCTTTCAGCGGAAAGATATGACTGGCAAATAAGTCATAAATGGAAAGCGTTACAATGAAACGTGCCCACATACACTTGCTTTTTTCCTATTATCAAAAAAGGGCAATTTTCAAACACAAGGAAGTTTGCCGCGTTGTCATCAAATTTCAGTGTCAGTGAATGCAATTTTGCTTATTTCCATTTGGTAATAGCTTAACGACACGATTCCCATAAAAGATGATATCCCCATATAGCCGTACCTCACTGTTCGCATACATATCGTTGCTGAACGCAAACTTCTGAGCAGTTGTCTCTGATGGCGTGTTCAGCGATGCATTCTTGAAATTTGTTAGTTAATTCTACCTGTCTCAAACAATTGGCTAGACTAGATCGATCTGCACATCACATCACCGTACAATTAGCGCACATCTACTACGCCATAACATGCTCGAACCGAGGGAAAAGGCCGATAATGACACATGACTCATAATCAAGTTCACTAATAGGGGTAGAGCGTGCTCAACAAACCAAAATCACAACACGGCTTTCTAACAGCTTGAGGAATTCTGATTCCTGCACACGCCACAAGGACTACATGGCTGAGCGTGCACTTAATTGGCATTCCACTACTAGCAGAGCTGAGCACCTTAGCTGCCGCACCATTGGACGTTGTTAACGATTTGGTAGCTTGAGGAGCTGTTGCCGTGCGCTCATCCGACTTATTAACCATATCGTCGGTAGTTGATGCAGCACCGCCCTGAAGCCCGTGTTCTTTACACTGAATAATTTTAGAAATAACCGTAATCGCCAAAAAAGTTTTGAGCATCACACTGAATTGAGGGCCGGGCATACATCACGCGATTTTACCACCTCGCGATTCTCAAAACAACAGCTGTTATGAGTTCATTTGATGCAGACCATCTTGCATTTCGGTTGCGATAGTTAGTACCGATTGGTCGTGCCGGAAAACTATCACAACCGATATGCAAGATGATTTGCATTCAATAAACTCGCAGCAGTTGCCTTGCTGGGTGAATCGCGAGACGATAGGATCGCTTGTTGTATGCCCGGACCTTTAGGCGCACATCAAACAATGTGTGGGTTCTTTGGAGCAAAGACTTAATAGCGGGAAAGGTTAGACTACTGACTGTCAAATTATGATTTACCCACGCTCAAACACAGATGTAAATATGCGCGTGAGATGTGTGTAGGAAAACCAGTGCTGCAGATGACAGGAATGACAAACTTTTGTTTCCTGAGCGATCATGAGTAATAGAACTGCACTAATCCCCGTTCAAACCTACGCACTAAGAAACTTTGCAAAGAGCTGCAAACATTTCGTTCACTTCGCAAAAAAAAGAGAAAAAAGTTATGAAAAACAGTTTCAAACAAAATCTCAAAGCAGTTATCTCACCAGGCCGATACAAAAAAAAACAAGAGTAAATATGTGAAATATATACAATGACAAGACACTTCAGCCTTGCTGAAAATTACATAAAGATAGCATAAAACAGCCTGCAGTTGATGCACCAGCTGAACAATTTTTGGAAAAAAAATGGTGTCATGAGATATTCGTTATTGATTCGAGAGGATGTAGAGAATGGTCAGCGCTAGCAAGCTACTGCAAAATTGCTGGAGTTAACTCAAACAAGAAATAAACTTGAGTAGCTGCAGTTGGTAAGTGAACCAGTCTTTACTGATGCTTTCGACAAGTGTCACGAGACTGCGAAATTGACGAAACGCAAGCGGCTCCGCAAGAAACCAGTGATCAACTAACACATACTTGACCTTGTATTGTTCGGCACAAGCATAACTTCGAGGCTGCACATATCTAACTACACATCCTTATGAAAAGCAAAAACTATATTTTGATCATCTCATCTCTTGATAGGACATGGGCCAAAACCGTTAGCCTTCCTTTATTATGGGACTCTTTAGTCCCAAACGTTAGTTAGAAAAATAATACTTGTCATTAGTTTGAAAAGACAAAAGAAATAATAATTTCTCCAATAAAAAAAGTTATACGAAGCCTCAAAGAATATATTATGCAGAGAAAAAACAAGGAGACGTTGAAGCAAGATTTCTGAGCTTGTTGAGGACTTGTTCATATTTTTGCTTCTAGACAATATGAGACAAACTGAAAAAAAATGACGCGTTCTTGATTTTTCTTCGCAACCTAAACTGAGCAGGGATAGTGAGTGATTACGGATCTATGTAAAGATTTGCTTTTCGACGAGCATCCATTCACGAATCCTGACTTTGTTATGTTCAAGTCACTTTCAAAAAAAGGTTCTTCGCTTCTTTTTTCTTAGGTTTTCCACTCCAAAGCCAAACAGATTTATGAATCGAATTTGAGATGTCTGCTATCCAAGAAAATATGAAGAAGAGATAAAAGCGAATTTTTTTATAATGGTGATGATCGGAGATACATGCAAAGAAGCTCTTAATTCCCGATTTCTCAAAAGAATTATTACAAAAAAAATTTACTCACTTCATTCTGGCTTGAAATTGTTGATCCGGCGTCATCGTCTTGGGCTGACGTGGAGTTCGGTTGTGTTGAAGTGGACGTGACCAGTTGAACAAGTTGAACTGCACCACTGTTGTTCGCGCTCGGTCTCCTAAAAAAGCGGTAATATCACCTGTCACAGGCAGAAATGAACGCGAATTCGCAGCGCTTACGTTGCTATAACCGTAGTTTTCGCATTGACGACGTTAGCTGCAGGAGACGTCACCGGGCTACTGGTGTTTGTTGAAGACGACGACGCCGCTATGCGCCCAGCAGCAACGCTGTTGTACGGAATACCAGGCGGAGGTGGTGGCGGCGTGGCTTGGTTCACTCCGGTTAGCGACCCTAGTGGAGTCGCTTCAACGGATCCATCTCTGAATCAGAGACAGTTGATGAAAGAAATTATAAGTCTAGTTTTTTGGTGATTTCTTATTAAATTTGTGAAGTCTATCCTCGCATGCAGAAGAATAGCGTACTCGACACACAAGCTCACTGACCATATTCATATTCGAATACAGATAATAGGAGACAAAAATCAATGAGATAAAACTTATGAAAGAACAGCGGTAAGCTGAGGGAACATATTTGCATAAAAAAGTGATTCCAACATATTGATGAAATTTCTGAATCCGATTTTAAAAGAACCATTTTGACAAACTTTCGGCCGAAACTCGACGATAAAATCAATGCTACTTGCAACATAGCAAACTATACGCAACTGTTACAGCATGTGTCTCTCGCGCCGCATCGCATTCGTATCATTTTTTCAGGATTAGGCAAACGAACAATGGCTAAGAGGCATGACAGCGTCTGCATGCACGCACCAAAAGAACATTTAGTCAACAGAGGACAAACTTGGCCAACTTTGCTGGAGTAACTGGAACAGATGCTGCCGCGACCGTCCTACGTGGAGCCGGACTAGCTGGCGTGTCTTGGCTTCCATGTCGAGATCCACCGCTAGTTCGAGAATTTCCATCGTCAGCTCCTGATCCCTCATTTGCAGATCCGTTGTCATGACCTATGAAACACGATGTAACAAAATTTACTGATAATACATTTTTGTGTAAATAGGTGCCGTGACAGCGGGAATGGGGCTTGAGATCGCGGACTTCAAGATAGCGTCCCAACAAAATTTCGTTTTCCAGTTTTTCACCTTTTCGGAGCCTTCTCGCATGAGGAAGCATATCTGAGCTTTTCAACGCATAAAAATAACGAAAATGGGCTTTTCTCGACCTTTCCCGAACCATACTCAGCGGAAAATACGTGTAAGCGGGCGGAGTCAAAACGAAGGAGGAGGGGTGCGGAAAAATCCTCCGTATTTCCACTGAATGCGGTCCTGGAAAGCTTCGAAAAAGGCTCATTTTTGCCATTTCATGCGAAAGCCCAGATAGGGGTTTTTCTTGGCGAGAGGCTCCAAATATTTGAAAAACTGAACAGCAAAATTTTGCCACACAATTTTTCCCATCTTTTCATTAGAGTAAGTCCTCCATTGACTGCAGAAGTACTGAAGCTTCATAAACTTATCGGGACGAGTATAGTGATTATGCCAATCGTAGATAATCGAAGGCAGTTCACCGAGAAAAGATATATTCAAAGCCCAGAACGAGTTTTCAGACCTATGAAAACTTCCACACAGCAAGAGATTAGAGGCCAAGACTTTGTTCCCTCCAAATCAAAGTGGCAAAAAGGAACATATTCGTAATTCTATTCGCAACTAGTTACTGAATAGCAATGATGACAGACTTTAGATGGTAGCTATAAAACAAAACTTGCTGAACGACTGACCATTCTCCTTTTCGTCGTCCAGTGGACCAACTTGTATACCACCTATTTGAGCACTCAACGCTAACAAGTTCAGTTCCTCATACGCGTCTGAATAGAAAAAATCCAACTGTAAAAGTCTTGAGCTCACTGTGAACGTACCTTCTGGATCGAGAGTCTCCAAGTGATCCGTATCGCCATCATAGTCTGGATCAACAAGCGCATCTATATACATTTCCAAAGGATCTTTGAGTACTTCCATAACGCGCTTTGACTCCAAGGACTCGTTGTTAACCATCCTCATACAAACCTGAGAATGGAAAATTGGAAAGTAACATCACCCAAATTTCTTATTAAAGAGAAAAACTGGCTCATCAAACATCCTATCCGCTGTAGAATGACTGGAAATCTAACTGCTTCGGTAGATAAACATTTTAAAATCACCTCTAATTTGCCGATATGGAACTTCATTCGCTCAAGATGTCGCTTCAGCTCCTCCATGCGCTTCTGAAAATTGATTTAACAGCATGAAACTACAACTTGCTTAAAAGGAGCAACCCCTAAAGTACCTCTTTCTCGCCTTTCTTTCCTTCTTCCTTCTTGCCGCGTCGTTTTCCCGCATCCACAGAAGATAACGACTCAATTTGTGATTCTGTGCGATCCGCCTCATCGCCAAGCTCACGGATTTGACTCTAAATATAGCTCAGCGCTATGAAAAATTGAATAATGCGAGACAACTAGGTAAGCCCAAACCTGCAGCCATTCTATTGTGTCAACTTTTTCTTTCTCTCGTGGGTCTAATTTCTCCTCCGCACACAGGCCCTAGATGTGAATATGAGACATATGCGAGATAAAAACACCTCAGCAACCAAGACAAAAAAATTTTTACCTGCTTGCTATGCGGCTTCGTTTTGTTCTCTCGCTCTATGTCTTTGAATTGCTCCATTCGTTGCTCTATCACTTTACGATAATACGTCAACTTATCCTTATCCTTAAACACAAAAAATCAGACTATGGGGCAATGACTTGCAATTCACTGATGTAAAAACTAACTTTTATCTCCGAACAATTCTGCCAGCCCTTTACTTGATCTCTCAACCGTTGCAACTTTTTAATCTCTTTTTTCAAATCATCCTGGAACTTCTGACAATCCTACAGAATCATCTTCGTGCATCTACTCAAAAAACGTACCTGATATTTCTCTCGCTGATTATCACTGTTTGCCTCTTGCATTTTCATCATCGTTTCTTCAAACAGTTCTACACCCTCATCGATCTTAATCATTTCACTTTTACAATGAAACACTGAACATCGCTGTGTAGGAGCGTGCGTTAGAATCACTCACATGAGTCTCTACGCAATCAGAAAAAAAAAGAAAAAGAGAAAATGTTACCTTTTTGAAGCATTTATCAATCTCGGCAAGGAGCTTCCGCTTCTCCGCCATGATGACCTGTTCCTTGAGTGTGGACTGGACCACAAAGGATTATAATGCATGCAGCGAATTCGCAGCTAACTTCTTCTCTTAAAACCATTTATGAATAATAGCAGGCAGATGCATCATAAGAAATCATAGAAAAAACCAAATTGGAGCTTTACAACAGTTGATGTAGGAGAAAAAACTCACAAGTTTTCAAAACAGGGACAAACGAAGTAAGCTAAAGGAGAATCGTGTAAATCCTGCGAGCAGCTGTGGAAGTTGGGTTAGAACTGCAAAATGAGTCATTGATAAAGAAACACTTGTAAAAAAGGCAATCAATTTGAAAATGACGTCGAAATTTTAGAGGTGACAAGTAAGCCACATTCTGCATTCTGCGAAAAAAGAGCAGAAAATTGGCCGAACAAAATCAAAGCTCGTTTTGACCTTGTCTTCTGCAGCGTATAATTGCGCTGCGTATGGGTTGCGCTGTGTATTTGAACTCCCAAAGGTACACTAGCTTTCAATAATGCTCCCTTTGAAAAAAATAGGATGTAGACACAAGAATAAATTTTGCAGGAGCAAAGACGTTTTAAATTTCCAGTCCTTTTCTTCACTAGGCGCTGAAAAAAAGATTATTGGTCGTTCTTTGAAATTCATTCATCTTCCATCTGCACCATTCATTTTATGTCCCAAATGTTGGAAACGTTGTGGACAAAGAGTTCTTTCTGTGCTGATCCTAGAAACTTCGCTAGAAATCCCCCTAGAAAAACCCCAACAGCGGAATACCGAAGTCGTGTACAATAATGGTACAATAGCAATGATTAAGAAAAAACAAGTGCAGTGACGTCATACCGTTCGAAAATCAAGAAATTGATCAAAATTAAGCGCTTTGAGCTAAATGCTTTGAGAAAACTGATGGCTAGTCGATGCTAAAAATTGACAGTGAAGATAGGCCAACGCTATCACATGTAGTAACTTATGATACTAGAGAAAATCAGCTTCGAATACTGAGTAGGAAAAAAGGTGAAAGAGATAAACATGGTGACAATGCAAAAATGTGTTCAGAATCTCAGCAAGAAATCTGGAAGTCTCTTGACCGAAACGAACAGATCAAATAGGAGAATTGCGTTGAGTTCGTGGAAAATATGTTCTGCTAACAAAAATTCCTCAGAGGTTTTGTGACTGAACAGGAAAGCATGGAATGAGCTGGAACCTTTCGTGCATAGCAAGCTTGGAAGTGGATATCTAAACCAGAGCTTGAGAAACTTAACCGTCACGTCGCAGCCAAACACTGTGACATTCTGTGAAAGCTAAAATATCTTCTGAATTTGCGCAACATCAAAAAATGAAGATTTTGAAGAAACCCCTAGAAAAACGAGATTCCTGGTCTTTTTGCCTGTTTTGAGTCGAGTTTTGATTGTATATTAGAGCAGTGAACCAAATGCCACCACTTCCACCCGACAAATCCCAGAGAATCCCAGGGAAAATCCCAACAGCAGAAGAGGAATCCGACGATGCGAGCACGGTCGATACGCGGACAAGGCGCGGATTGGCTGCGTACGCGACCGTGCGGCCGGCGTCGAATCGGCAGGCAGCACTTTGAAAGCGGCGACCGCCCTCCGCGCTGCCGTTCGTTCTTGGCCGTTCCGCAGTTGCGTTCGCTGTCCCGTGCTGAATCCGTTGTTTCTTCGTTCGTCGTTGGTGTCCCAAAGGTCCCACGGTGTCCCAAACACGAGCCATTCAGGATGCCCGTCTTCCAGCTGCACACCAACGTCGCCAAGGACAAAGTCACACCCGAACTGCTGAAGCAGATCTCAGCACTGGTGGCGCGTATTCTGCACAAACCTGAAAGTGTGGGTTTTCTTCCCCTCAAAGCAGTTCCATAACGTTAAGTCGATGTGTAGCACAGACCCTTGCAATGTCTTTTGCTCTGCCACAATGGCTTATCTCGAAAGGCAACACTAGAGAACGATTCTTCTGCTTTTGCTGTCACATCAACTCAAAGAAAAAGTGGTAGAAGTCTTATCACTGCTCCCGAACGTCTGACTGGTGCATTGACCTTAGTCAACAAAAAGTAAAGCGTTAAGAAATAAATCAGGGATGAAGATGAGAAGTGTTGACATATTCTAGAGAAAAAAGTTAGTGGAGTGTAAGATTTTGAAACTAGCACTAAAGGCCAAACCAGAAAACCAAACCAGAGTTTGATTGGTGGTCATTTTGCCTTTATGTGACAGTATAGACCCTTTTTCTGTGAAGATTTCGCTTTCTTATTGTTGGAATGATTGTGGTTAGCGATCAGACCCATTTGAACTATGTTTAAGTGGTTTGCAAAGTCATTATCGTGCAGAAAATCGGCTCATTTTTGCTTGCACTTACTTTTTTCTGCTTTTTACCGCCTTGATAGTTCGTGTGTGAGCTATTAGAGGCAGTCCGTAAGGTAGAAATGAGCAAATGTTGTAACAATTTTCGAGAGTATGAAGGACGTGCTGCAGCCGTTTGGTGCATCTTTGAGTTGCTAGAAAAAACGGCTGCAACCCCATCTCAATGAACCTGAACACTTTCTGAATGAAAAATTTTTGCAGCGTTGCAACGATCGCTAGAAGGCTCATTCTCACAAGTTCTTGTGTTCCCATACACTACATTCTCGTCTGTAAAGTCAACGCTTTTTTCTTCTGAATATAGTGTAGTTGTCATTTTTGGGGAATTCCGATTCGCTGCGGGCATCAAAACCAGTAATGGCTGCATTATCTAAATTGGATCTCATATACTGGTGTGCGATGATATTACACTGGTATGCAAAAAAAATCCGAAACTTTTTGCTACCATTGTAATGCGATAGAAACCTTGGGACTGTGCAGCATCTACTCGCGGCTGGCAGTCTGGGCGCTTTGCACTTTTGAGTTTACGAATCGATCGTTGGTGTCCCTATATCGCGATGCTGCGCCTGAACAATTCCTTATAGGTGGTCAGTCCATCTCATGATCTGATTCATCTCATGAACTTACGATTAGAATAATTGCTAATTCTCTATGAATGTGTAGTAGTGTATGTGTAGTTTCCCTTTCTTGCGAACGTAAATGAAATTTAAAAGCCAAACTAGGAGAGTGACCATGCCTTGCTTGTGCCTGCAGTTACATAGGGGAAGGCCCACATAGACCGTGAAAATATCGTGAAAATTTATCATTGCAAAAATAGAAACCTCATCAGAGCCAAAAAAATTTGGTTTTTTGGGATTACAAAATCTCAAAGTTAAGTTTCAGTCTCTCAAGCAAAGCTATACTCTCTATTGTCTCTCGAAAATAACTGCATCAGCATCTTGTACAGATTTACGTGATATTTATTTTGTTTTCATAGAAGCTTTGAGAATATGTTCGTACTTATTTTCCGACTACTTCCAGAACTTTTAGAATTTATCGCTCTCTGCTTATTGGTACTAAACGAAATCGTGTTCAGTATGTCTGCGTGGAAATCATCCCTGATCAGCACATGACATTCGCTGGTACGGACGACCCATGTGGGGTCGCGCAACTCAGGTCGATCGGAGGTGTTGGTGGGTCTCAGAACAACAGCCATGCAAAAGCCCTATTTGCTCTGATCAAGGATCACCTGGGAATTGAAGGGAGCAGGTATGGTTTTGCTGTGTTGGTGTGATTTCGATCTGTATTTTTCTACTTCTTTAGGATGTACATTGAATTCATCGACATCGGCGCCGCCGACATTGCCCACAACGGTAGAACATTTGGATAAGTTCAGATGGAGACTGTTCGAACTTGTCTTGCTTATTAATCCGGTTTATAACACATACGGTTTTGTTGCAGTTATTGTTATGTTGCTAATAATGAACATTAGTTAGGGCGTTCGAAAATATGATTGCCCAGTGATATATGCAAAATGGGTGTCTAAAATTCACGAGTGCGCCTTGATGAATTCTGCACGAGGGTTATTACGGTCGTGTGCCTTTCTGACAGATGTTTTGCGCAAAGTGCAGATACAGGAGACAAAGTTGACTGGTTGTTCTGACTCATGCACAATTCGTCCTGGAATGAGCGATTTGAAATCGACCTCAATCGTTGCGAAGATTATTCGGACAACAATAGATTTTGGCTGGAGATGGGACGCCAAATTACTTCAAATGCGATCAAATCACATATTTCGAGGTACTTCAATCTGTAATAGCTCCGGTCAGAATGCATCTCAGCAAGATTACTGTGTCGCTTGCAAATACTGGTTGCTACTGCTCGAGCGCACTGCAAATCATCTGTTTGAACCGCATGTGAAAAAAGAAACTGGTCAATGAAAAATTGGGAAAAGTGGTTTCTGATTTGCCAAGTTACTGTCGTATCGTATGCCATACTATGGCAGCGACTAAAGGCTGGGTTCATGCTGCATCAGTTCCGGAACCGTTCCAGAGGGCTCTGCAGATCGTGTCAGTCGCATCGACTGCGGCCATTGGTCACGCACTACGCCAACACGATTTCATCGAGTTCCCTTTTCTTTACAACCACTGTGCTTCCTTTAGATGCTAGCTTTCTAACATTTGAAGCTATTCTGAAAAGCTAGGGTGATTTTGTTTGTTTGAGGAATTCCTGGCCTTGGACGTCCGCGTTGGTCGCAGCAAATTCCACCGCACTTCAAAATCAGCATTCCATTCAGCAGTTGCAGTGTCCCGGATGGTGATTGAATTCGAAAAATTATTTGGCCAAAAGCGTTTTTTCATACAAATATCTTCTAGCATATTCACTGGAACTTAAACGGAACATGCAAATTCTATCCAGTTCATCAACAATATAGAGTCAGCTCTGGGCAACACCTTACGAATTGCAAAAGTCGTAGGAAATGTATCGTCGATTCGTTGGTCGGACGGACTGCTCAACCGCTGCGGACCAGCGGCGCGGTTAAAATGTTGCGAGAGCACGATTTTAACAATGGCGAGTTTGTATTGGAGCAAGCGTTTTACCTCGCGGCGCGTGCTCCGCGGTTATGTCCAGTCCGTACAGTCAAGGAATCGACGATAGTGAGTATTCGTATTTTGAAGAATAATTTCCAGAGCTTATTAAGTGTCAGATCTTGTCCATTGTGCAGCGATCATGCAGGAAATACATCCCCCCCCCCTCCCCGTTTGAAACAGGCTGTAGATATCGCCTTCCCCTCAGAACCCCCCTCCCTCCCTCACTCCTATCCTGGGCTCCCTTAGGCCCCGGCCAGACTTCACGCGATTTGATCGTCGCGACTGAATCGCGACGAGACAACTGTTACAACACCATTCCATGCCGATCAACTTGCATTTCGGTTGTGATACTTTTCCAGCCCGAAATTTTTGAATGTGAAATGAAAATGAATGGAAAAGTCGGCGATTGAGTTGCGACGATCAAATCGCGTGAAGTCTGTCCGGGCCTTAGACGTCCCCCTCCCCCTCAGACAGTCGAAGGGATACCTCCGGTGGGCATATGGCGCGAGTCTGCCACCTCGCGCTCCGGAGCCCTGCCATTTCACGCATCTTTGTGCTCCGGGGCTCTCCCAAAGGTGGCGCACCTCCGGAGCAGAGATCTGCGCGTCGCGGAGAGGGGTCAAATTCATTCACCGTGACTTCACGGTGACGTCACAAACAGACGAATGGGACCCCTCTCCGCGACGCGCAAATCTCTGCTCCGGAGGTGCGCCACTTTTGGGAGAGCCCTGGAGCACAAAAAATGCGTGAAATGGCAGGGCTCCGGAGCGAGAAGTGGCAATCCTCCGCTGGGAAAAGCCCGCGACCCTGCCACTTCTGCTGCGGAGGTATCCCATCGACTGTCTGAGCCCTCCCCTTGTTGCGACGCTCGCATCACAGGCTTGACCCTGCTCAGACAGTCGACGGCATACCTCCGCAGCAGAAATGGCAGAGCTGCGGGTTTCCCCAGCGGGGGATTGCCATTCGTGCTGCGGAGCCCTGCCATTTTGTGCTCCGGAGTCCTCCCATTTTGTGCTCCGGAGACCTCGCATTTTGTGCTCCGGAGACCTCGCATTTTGTGCTCCGGAGACCTACCATTTGTGCTCCGCAGGTGTCCCAAATCTGGCGTACCTCCGGAACACAGATTTGCAAGCCCGCCGGAGGGTTCCCATCTGCCTTCTTGTGACGCCACCGTGACGTCACAGAAAGGGACCGCCCCCTCGCCCCGCTCTCAATGGTCAATTGGGTCCTCCGCAGCTCTGCCAGATTTCGACTGTCCTCCGGAACTACGGCACCGATTGTCTGAGTGATTCTGAGCCCTCAGTTGTTCTACCGCAACCGACCTGCCCCATTACAAATTCAAACTTATCCATCAGTTGCAGTTTGAGACGACTATGGATAGTCCGGTCATCAGCCAAGAAGAGAGTCAAAGAAGCGAAAGAAGCATACGTAGCAGAACTGTATGGCAAATTGCGTACTCGCGAAGGTGAACGAGAAGTATATCGGATCGCTAGAAGACGAGCAAATGCCGCAAAAGACGTTGAACACTTCTACCACATCAAGGACGCGCACGGAAGAATTCTGAGGAAGCCGCAGGAAATCAATGAAAGATGGAGGGAGCACTTCGCAAAGATGGCGTCAGCAAACAACGAATATGCGTCCACCGTAACATCCGAACCCGTGAATGGACCAGTACCAGCAATCACCAGGGTTGCGTGGGGTCAGGCGCGCCCGACCTGGGGGGTCGTACTGGGGTAAGACAGAGGGGGGGGGGTCGTGATTAGGAATCGAATTCGTTCGATTGAGGAGATACTACTATTAAGGTGAAGAAGAAAAGCGCTAGTTTAGTGGATATCGCGACCTCACCAGTACTGAAGGAATGAACGGTCTTAAACAGCATACTGATTGATTCCACAATCGAAGTTTCGGCCAAAACTCAAATCTTCATCTTCTACCTTGACATATTATAAATTCATCAAGGAAGCTTGCTGTTTGAAATGGGTATCATTTTCGAGCACGTCAAATTACATCTATGAGCCCTACAAACCATTATTTACTGCATTATCTGGTGTTTCACAACGACTAAAAAGCGTGATTTTCAAACATGATTAACTTGTTTTCAAAAGCGAGAAAAGTCAATTTTTTTGTACTCGTAACAAAGTATTGTTCCCTACTAGTCTAGGCTAAAAATCGCGCTTTGTATCGCTTGCAAATAGTGGAGTAAGAAATAATGCTAAAATTTCGACCGGCGCGTTTTTCGCCATGACTGCTTCAACTCCACGGATTACCACAAGGCCGAAACAAGTCGAATCAAGTCCAAACACTTACTGTGGAATCTTCGAGGGTTGTGCTAGCGATTCACATAAAACTTGAATAAAAAAGCTTCTTCAGTGATAAAGTTAATCGGGTCAGGCGCAACCCCACAAAAGGTCAGGCCGCCTGAGCTTTTGAGGGGTTGCGCCTGACCCGATTAACTTGTTTTGAAAATCTAAAAATCGCTCCATTTCTGCTATGAGTATTGAACTCAAAGCCTCTTCTTGCAATACTGCAAATTTGGAGCCAAACAATACATCCCTGTGGGAATTATAGCTCTAAAAGTAGGGCTATCCAAAATCCAAAACTTGCCGTCAAGTTGCATGTGCTGTGCAATCGCAGAAAGTCGACCTACAGACCTCCAAAAAACAAGAACCTCCCAAAAACGGCTGATCTCTTCGAATTATCACAGCCTGAGGTCCTGGAGGTGGTGAAGCAGAGGGGTCGTTTAGGGGATTTTACTGGGGGGGGGGGTCGTTTTGGAAAGACTTGTGCCTGACCTCTTGCTCAACCCTGGCAATCACTGAAGATGAAGTCCGTACCGCCATAATGAAGACAAAGAGCGGCAAGGCGACAGGCCCCGATGACATCCCCAGCGAGTTCTGGAAGCAGTGTGGAGAGGCTGGAGTTTCGTGGCTAACGCGTCTTCTAAATCAAATAGTCGAGTCGAAGAATATCCCCGATGATTGGCGCAGAAGTACGACGGTACCGATATGGAAGAATAAAGGCGACGTAGCTGACTGCTCCACCTACCGACCTATCCGTCTCATGTGCCACACGCTGAAGATCTTCGAAAGAATACTAGAGATGCGACTTCGAAGTATCGTGATACTGAGTTCCAACCAGTGCGGATTCGTGAAAGGATGCAGTACGACAGATGCCATTCACGCCGTCAGAATGATGATGGAGAGAAGCAGAGAAAAGCAATGTGAGCTCCACGCGGCATTCCTGGATCTTGAGAAGGCATTCGACAGAGTACCGCACTACGTTATATGGTGGGCACTGCGGAAGCACGAGGTACCAGAAGAATATGTTCGGTGGATCAGAATGATATACAAGGATGCCACCAGCTACGTAAGAACAGTAGCAGGACGTACAGAAGACTACCACATAGATGTCGGTGTACATCAAGGATCCGTTCTCTCCCCTCTACTCTTCATCACAGTGATGGACACGATAGTCAGAAGCTTCGTAAATCCACCTCCTTGGACCGTCATGTACGCAGATGATGTGCTCCTGATGGCAAGAAGCAGGAAGGAATTGGAGACAGACGTAGCAATATGGAAAGAACAGCTTGAACTACACGGTCTGAAGATCAACACCGCCAAGACAGAATACATGAAGCTGGGACTTCAAACGCCAGAGACGATCCAGATTGCAGGCACGCAGATCAAGAAGACCACGTCCTTCAAATACCTAGGAAGTCGCATCGCGGCAGATGGCACGCTCGAAGACGAAATAACCAGTCGTATAAACGCAGCATGGCTGAAATGGAGAAGTCTCACAGGAGTGCTATGCGATAAAAGGATGCCGCTCAAGCTGAAATCTCAGATGTACC